CATGTACCGTCAAATCTTGGGTGAGAACCTCGTTCCCTCAGCCAGGGCATTGAAAATGGGTCGTGGATGGGTATTCCAGCATGACAATGACCCAAAACACACGGCCAAGGCAACAAAGGAGTGGCTCAAGAAGAAGCACATTAAGGTCCTGGAGTGGCCTAGCCAGTCTCCAGACCTTAATCCCATAAAAAAAATCTGTGGAGGGAGCTGAAGGTTCGAGTTGCCAAACGTCAGCCTCGAAACCTTAATGACTTGGAGAAGATCTGCAAAGAGGAGTGGGACAAAAATCCCTCCTGAGATGTGTGCAAACCTGGTGGCCAACTACAAGAAACGTCTGACCTCTGTGATTGCCAACAAGGGTTTTGCCACCAAGTACTAAGTCATGTTTTGCACAGGGGTCAAATACTTATTTCCCTCATTAAAATGCAAATCAATTGATAACATTTTTGACATGCGTTTTTCTGGATTTTGTTGTTGTTATTCTGTCTCTCACTGTTCAAATAAACCTACCATTAAAATTATTGACTGATAATTTCTTTGTCAGTGGGCAAACGTACAAAATCAGCAGGGGATCAAATACTTTTTTCCCTCACTGTACCATATTTGTATTCAACGAGAATCACAATATTTATTTATCCCTAAGAAATCTTACGAGTTATGAGGCTCTCTTTCACAGATGTCCAGTAGTTTCACAGATGTTCAGTGAAAGTCAAAGCTAAAATTCAAAGGGCCACCTTATACAGTACTTTAAATGGGTCAGGTGTCAGATCGTTATGCAATCCCATTATGTAAGAACGCACACCGCTGCGCTCCAATCGACACGTATTACTCTGATTTATAATTCGCTGCATCGTTCATGGGGCTTGCGGGGGAGGAGCGGTGGCACGGCAGTCGGCAAGCCGCACCGCTTAACCCCAGCTACTCGAGATCGACTCCCCCTTGCGGGCTAACACCAGCGACGAAATAATTGCCGCCTGTCATGGGCCCCTCTCCCCTAGTAGGTTGACTCGGCCATAAATTAGTACCTGTCTGGAGCGGTGTCTCAACATCAGCACTGGAGAGACAAAGGCGTCTGGGTGTGGTGCTGGCCACACCAACTCCCACTTAGGTGCACCGTGTGCTGGCCACCATAGGTGCTGCACGCTAACAGCCCCAACAGTCTGTTCAGGCTATACATAAAGTACTTTACCGAAAGAGCTAAGAATATGAATTACTGCAGTCACGAAAGCTTTAAATCAAAATTTTACATAAGGTATTGTTACGTGTGTAGAGGCCTGTCCATGCTTGTGTGTGTGGGGAGTGGTAGTGCAGCGGTTAGCGCGCTGCACTACGAACCTAGCGACCCAAGGTCGATTCCCGCTCACGGCCAACACCAGTGCGATTATCTGAACTGGTCCTGGGCCTCCCCTAGGTCGACTCAGCCTAATATGAGTACTTGGTACGGTGTGTAAAATATTGCCACTGTGGAGACAAAGGGAATTGGGCGTGGTGCTGGCCACCCACTCCCTCGTGTATCGTGCAGGTCTTAATATGTGCTAGCTAACAGCACTTGCCCCAACAGTCTGTTACTGCTGTAGGAGGAATCGTTGTCTTTTTGTCTTTGTGCTGGCTGGTATGTGTGTATGAGTATGCTGGTATGTACATGTGGGTGCCTGTCCATGCAAACGAATCCACATTCCTAACCACAATGAACCGGGGGGACCTATGGTATTGTAGATGTTTCAAATATGTTGAGCTACGTACATTTTGGTCAAGGTTAAAAAAGGAGATACAGTGAAAATATTTTCACCAGGCTCATCTGGAACGTTTGTTCGTTTACATTTTCGTCCTTTCCGTCCCTCCAATTTTCCAGGTTATATTGGGGAACAGTTTCGTGAACATGGAAAAAGAAACGTACTGGTTAAGATCATACCTCTCAACCCGTTATCAGTGCCGAGCTTATTACAGATCAGTTCAGGCCTTATTGGTCACCCCGTGCCCCTTATAAATCTCAACGTTCATCCTACAAACTCCCATCACAAGGGAGGGAAACACAAACAAATAGAGATTTGTATATTTTGCCAGTATTAAAACGGCTGTACGCCGTATGGACCTGAGAACGCAATTGCCCTGTACAAGAATACGGGGCAAACCGTATGGGTTGACAGGTATGGTTAAGATGTGGGGGTTACTCGAAGCCCTGAACTCGCCCTGTTAAACTAAACGAACGTGCCAGCTGTGTGGCCGCTCACCACTTATGTTCTGACCCCCCACTCAAACCATCCACACGGTATCCCCATTTCACGAGCATTGATTCAAGCGAGCCTGACACTGCTGATGATGTGTGTGAAACCTGCTCCAGAGTATTGCTGCTGAACATTTGCACTCCTAGAAGGGCCACGTGACTGATGGGTTGTGTGTTAAGTGTGGTCGAATGTGTAAACACACTCAACATTGAACATGATTGGAATATACATGGCAGTCATCATTCCCATTACTGAAAAAACTTGGCATGGGCAAATCCTATAACTTCACCACACGCCTTGTAGGGGCTGAGTCTTTGAGCTGCAGTGAACCAATGATTACGCCGATTCGATGTACTCATGTCTGATATGCCTATTGATCACAATTGCACCCAATAAAAGGACCCCCTTGAAAAAGAGTCGCGAGACTGGGCGAGGCTCCTAATCTGTGGGTAAATGTTTCCCAGTGTTTGCTAAATGTATCTAAATCAGCCCCAGCCTCCCCATATGTCATGTGACTCCTATGTGACCATCCCTACTGTGAAACCCCTCCACTCTAATCTATACACACACTCTAAACCAGCTCACGTGGCCTCTGTGTGGTCACCTCCGCTCTAAATTCCTGCCCTCTTCTCGCCGCCCCCTGTCGTTCCATGCAGCAGCATCGAGGCCCTAAGCTACCCTCTCGTCAACCCGCACCTCTGAATAGCATTCTTGGCTACGTACGGTGGGAAAGAAGTTGCACATCTCTCCTGACCCCTTCGCTCCCGTTTCTTCCATTCCTTTTCCATCCTTTTCCTCATTTCCCATTCTCTTCTCTCTTCCTTTTCCCGTCCCTTTTCCCCATGCCTGCCTCACAGGGCTGACATCCTTGACCCTACTCCCCATCACGTGATTGTGCCACCACGGGTTCAAAGGTCGCTAGTTTTCAGCGCAAGGAAGACGAACATTAAAGAGGTTAACTCCACGCTCATTGGCCTCCTTTTAAGCGTACTCCGGTCGTTCTGTTGGTAGCCGCTGCTCCTGGTGACTCGGTCACCCACGACCTAAGAATCAACACTGACGATATGATCTCCCACTCTTCACCTGCATTCCACGAAGATAAACAAATCCCTTGGGGGGTTTTATACTTTAAGGTGCGGGGTGTTTCACATCTTCACATTTTTGTGTTGATCAGAACCACCCTAACGCCCTGTTACCTAAGCTAATTGAGAGTTGACGTGATACATTTATACGCATCTACCGCTGTGTGTGCATGTGTGACCTTGCGTGTGCCCGTGTTACGAACCCACACACTCACTCCGTCATTCACCCACTCGCTCATTCACTGACTCGACAGCTCACTCAGCCTCTCGCTCGCTCGCTCACCCACTCACCCATCCAATCGCCCATGTCTGTGTGTGTACGTGTGTGTCTGTGTGCACCTAGCCTGACACAGGCACTGTGGTGACATCACCGCCACATAATGGTGAATGGCGGTTGTCTGTGTGTGTGTGCGTGCATGTGTGTCTATATGCATGTATGTGGGGAGCGGTGATGTACTGGTTAACGCACTGCACTACGACCCGGTGGCCTAAGGTTTGATTACCACTCGCGGCCATTAACAGCGGTGAATATATGACCCAGACCTATGCCTCTACTAGGTTAACTCAGCCTTAAATAAGTACAGTAAACCCTTGTTAATTCGACACATATGAGGCTCTGGCCTTGCCAAATTATCCAATATTCCGAATTATGTACAATGGTACTTGCCCAGTGCCTCCTGCCCCAATATATATAAAAAAAACTCTTCACACACTATACACATTGACACGCCTGTATCAATTCTATCCAAAACTTTGGATTTGTCTTGCAGACTAAGGGATTCATACTTCAGTCCCTTTCTATTACTTCTTGATGTGGGTGTAGACGACATTGCTGAGAGGGTTGGCTTGCACAGAGTGCACAAGCAAGGTGAAGTCCTAAAGCGACGGGTCTGCACTAACGCTCGCCACGCGCGTCGCCACTCGACTGAGTCGTTGTTTTGGTCGTGGCGTGCGGTGTCGCTCCGCTTCTATGCCGAGATTGGACCATTCGGTACGGCAATTCGGCTCGTGACGAATTACTAGCGCACCGTGTATATATATGCCGAAAGCGCAGCCGTGCCGAATTATCCACAATTACGAATGATCAAATACCGAAATAACGAGGTTTTACTGTTTTGGGCATGGTTTGAAAGGATGAGCACTTGGGAGACAGAGGCAGCCGTGCGGGCCTTAATAGGTGCTCACGAACAGCACTTTCCCCAACAGCCGTTAAGGCTATAGGGGGAGATGTGTGTCTTTGTTCTTGTCTGTGAGTGCGGGTATATTCATTCACGTGGATGTGTTTATCCGGATGTGCCTGCATGTGTATGATTGCCTTTTCATGGTTATCTCGGCTTGTGTGTGTGCACGTGCAGGTTTATGTATCGGTGGTTGTCTGTCTGTGTGTGTGGGCCTTACCCGTGCGCATGTGCACGTATGGTGCAGTGTTTAGCGCACTGTGCTACGAACCTGGTGATCCACGTTCGATTCCCGCTCACGGCCAACACCGGCGACTAATATTCTGCACCGGTCCCAGGCCTTAAGGGAGTACCGGGTGCGGCATGCAAACATCACCGTTGGGGAGACAAAGACGGCCGGGCGTGGTATCGGCCGCACCATGCCGGCCTTGAACAGGTGCTCGGAAACAGCACTTACCCCCAACAGTTTGTTAAAGTCTCCACGGGGGGATCTTTGTCTTTGTGCACGTGTGCAGCATGTGTGCCCCGGCTCACCAACTCCCCATCTCTCATTGTGATGGTGGGGTTGCCGGCTCGGGGAAAGACCTACATCTCCAAGAAGCTCACACGCTACCTCAACTGGATCGGAGTCAGCACCAAAGGTGCGTGACTCTGCGGCATCGCCCACCGACACTAAACTAAACACGAAGAACACCTTGTTGTACGCGTTCTTACTCGCAAAGTTCATGTTGATCTCACGCCGTTCTCGCGTCATGTTCGTTAGCGTCAAACGCCTGGGGGCACGGGAGGGGTAGGGGAGGGCGCACGGGAGAAGGGGAAGGGGGTGGCACGGGAAGAACAATTATCAATTAGAACTATAAACTATCTGTATTTCACCGGGTAATGCCCACTGGGCTATGTAGCTCTTTTTCAGAAGCGACCTGGCCACAAATGATAGCTCAACGAAGTGGCTTGTCACGTGGAAATTTACAGCAGCCAAATACCCTAAACGCGCGTTTCCAAATGTGGGGTGGGGGGGGGAAACTGGAGGACCCGGAGAAAATCCATGCGACTACAGAGAGAACATGCAAACTCCAAATATACAGCAGGCGTCAGGGTCGGGATTGAACCCTCGACTTCCTGTATACCAGGCGATGTAGTTGACATCTCGCCACCGTGACACGCCCCTGCCACGAGCCCCCGTCGCCCACCGCAGCCTAACCACCCCTCGACCGCCTGCCTCCCACATGGCACCGTCACTCTCCGATCACGCCAGTCGCACCCGACGACCCGAGTTCAATCCCACTCGCGACCATTGACAGTGGAGAACATCTGAACCTGGCCCTGGCCCTCCCCTTGGTCCACTCGGCCTGAAATGAGACCTGGTGCAGTGTGTAAACATCAGCACTGGGGAGACAAAGGCAGCCGGGCGTGGTGTTCGCCACCCACTCCCCCCTGTGCCGTGCTGGCATTCATAACTGCTTGCTAACAGCACTTTCCACCACGGTCTGTTAAGGATATATACGGTGGGGGGGGATCTTTTTGTGTGTGTGTGTGTATGCGGGACGGTGCAGTGTTCAACGTGGGCATGTACCGGCGCCAGGCCACCGACTCGTACCGCTCGTTCGAGTTCTTCCGCCATGACAACGAGGAGGCGATGACGATCAGGAAGTACGAAGCGCACGCACACACACACACATACACACACATACACACACATACACACACATTCACACACACATTCACACACACATACACACACACAGACACACACACATACACACACATTCACACACACATACACACACATTCACACACACATACACAGACACACACACATTCACACACACACATACATTCACACACACACACACACATACACACATCACACACACATTCATACAGACATACACACACACATACACACATCACACATTCATACAGACACACACACACATCACACACACATTCACACACACACATCACACACACACACATCACACACACACACACATTCATACAGACACACACACACATCACACACACACATTCATACAGACACACACACATCACACACGCACACATACACACACACACATACATCACACACACACACATTCATACAGACACACACATACACACATCACACGAGCGCACACACGCGCACACACACACACAGACGCACACACACGCTCGAGTCCCGTCACTCAGCCGGGGAAGAAAAACAACCCGCACCAAACGGACTCCGTGATGCTTTCGATTGGTGCCTTGTCCCTCGTGTGTTATACTTTCATTATATTGTTATACCCAGGAAAGCCTCACCGAGTCTCGTTTTCAAGAAGGTCCTGCCAAGTTTTCGCAATAGGGAGTGATTATTGCTTGCGGTGTATGATCCCGATTGAGTAACTCTGTGGTGGGATTTTTTTTTTAATTTGGAACGTGACGCTGGCACAGTGTGGCCTACTCTTGCGAACCACATCGCAGGATCTCGTTAACGTCCACTGTGAGTAAAGCAGATGGTGCATGATAGTGGTATCATTGTGGGTGCCACAGTGGCGAGATGTTAATTACCTCGCCTGGTATGCAGCAGGTCGTGGGTTCGATCACGACCCTGGCGCCTGTATATTTGGAGTTTGCACGACTCTCTCTCCCCATAGTCACGTGGATTTTTCTCTGGGTTCTCCGGTTTTTCCCACCACATTTAGAATCATCATCACGCCTTTAGAGTACTTGGCTGCTATAAATTTCCACGTGATGATAAGCCACTTCTTTGAGTTTCGGAAAAAGAGCTGAACGACTCAGTGGGCATTACCTGGTAAAATAAAAAATAGTTTCTAGTTATCATTACGGTTAATACGCACCACAGGGTTAACCAGGGTGGCTGCAGGATTTCGAATGGTTAACCTCTGCGGGGAACGTGTCACCGCCCATGCACGTGGCATTTACGTAGCGGTGATGTCTTTCCTTCTGACCCAGACGACAATGAAGTTCTGACGCCGCATGACAAAGGGTTCCTTTTTTTAGGAGCCTTCCGTTTCGGTGTTAGTACCCAGGGCACCTTCATGTCAAGACGTCTGGTCAGCGTGGAAGAGTAGGCCAAATGCTCCCTCGCGGTGGGCTCTCTATAGAGTTTCATCTAGCATGGAAGCCCTCTGCCAGCAGTGGTGTGAGTGAGCACTTGCAGGGCTGCACCTTTAACCTGTTGCTCAAAGCGCATAGAAAGCACCATTAGGCTTCTTAGAGTTCACTACTAATGCCCCAGGCTCTTAGAGCTAGACTAAGGCTGCTTTGTAGGGTTCATGGAGTTCGTTGGTAATGATTGATGCTCATTTACGCAGACTCTGGCACGATTACAATTCACGGGATTTTTTTATTTAAATGGCCGGAGGTGCAGAGACCCAGACGGACAGGACTGACGCCGTCATGGCAACCGCCTGTGGGTGGTGGTGGTTATACAACCGATGACGGTGCTCGCAAACACACACACACCTCGCATAATCATCTCGCATAATCACCTCGCATAATCGCCTCGCATAATCACCTCGTGTAATCACCTCACGTAATCACCTCGCATAATCGCCTCGCATTAATCACCTCGCATTAATCGCCTCGCATAATCGCCTCGCATAATCACCTCGCATAATCATCTCGCATAATCGCCTCGCATAATCGCCTCGCGTAATCACCTCGTGTAATCACCTCGTGTAATCACCTCACGTAATCACCTCGCATAATCGCCTCGCATTAATCACCTCGCATTAATCACCTCGCATTAATCACCTCGCATTAATCACCTCGCATAATCACCTCGCATTAATCGCCTCGTATAATCACCTCGCATTAATCGCCTCGCATAATCGCCTCGCATTAATCGCCTCGCATAATCGCCTCGCATTAATCACCTCGCATTAATCACCTCGCATAATCACCTCGCATTAATCGCCTCGCATAATCACCTCGCATTAATCGCCTCGCATAATCGCCTCGCATTAATCGCCTCGCATAATCACCTCGCATTAATCACCTCGCATTAATCACCTCGCATTAATCGCCTCGCGTAATCACCTCGTGTAATCACCTCACGTAATCATCTCACATAATCACCTCGCATTAATCACCTCACATAATCGCCTCGCATTAATCGCCTCGCATTAATCGCCTCGCATAATCACCTCGCATTAATCGCCTCGCATTAATCGCCTCGCATAATCGCCTCGCATTAATCGCCTCGCATAATCACCTCGCATTAATCACCTCGCATTAATCACCTCGCATTAATCACCTCGCATAATCACCTCGCATTAATCGCCTCGCATAATCACCTCGCATTAATCGCCTCGCATAATCACCTCGCATTAATCGCCTCGCATAATCGCCTCGCATTAATCGCCTCGCATAATCGCCTCGCATTAATCGCCTCGCATAATCACCTCGCATTAATCACCTCGCATTAATCACCTCGCATAATCACCTCGCATTAATCGCCTCGCATAATCACCTCGCATTAATCGCCTCGCATAATCGCCTCGCATTAATCGCCTCGCATAATCACCTCGCATTAATCACCTCGCATTAATCACCTCGCATTAATCGCCTCGCATAATCACCTCGTGTAATCACCTCGTGTAATCACCTCACGTAATCATCTCACATAATCACCTCGCATTAATCACCTCACATAATCGCCTCGCATTAATCGCCTCGCATTAATCGCCTCGCATAATCACCTCGCATTAATCGCCTCGCATTAATCGCCTCGCATAATCGCCTCGCATTAATCGCCTCGCATAATCACCTCGCATTAATCACCTCGCATTAATCACCTCGCATTAATCACCTCGCATAATCACCTCGCATTAATCGCCTCGCATAATCACCTCGCATTAATCGCCTCGCATAATCACCTCGCATTAATCGCCTCGCATAATCGCCTCGCATTAATCGCCTCGCATAATCACCTCGCATTAATCACCTCGCATTAATCACCTCGCATAATCACCTCGCATTAATCGCCTCGCATAATCACCTCGCATTAATCGCCTCGCATAATCGCCTCGCATTAATCGCCTCGCATAATCACCTCGCATTAATCACCTCGCATTAATCACCTCGCATTAATCGCCTCGCATAATCACCTCGTGTAATCACCTCACGTAATCATCTCACATAATCACCTCGCATTAATCACCTCACATAATCGCCTCGCATTAATCGCCTCGCATTAATCGCCTCGCATTAATCGCCTCGCATAATCACCTCGCATTAATCGCCTCGCATTAATCGCCTCGCATAATCGCCTCGCATTAATCGCCTCGCATAATCACCTCGCATTAATCACCTCGCATTAATCACCTCGCATTAATCACCTTGCATAATCACCTCGCATTAATCGCCTCGCATAATCACCTCGCATTAATCGCCTCGCATAATCGCCTCGCATTAATCGCCTCGCATAATCACCTCGCATTAATCACCTCGCATTAATCACCTCGCATTAATCGCCTCGCATAATCACCTCGTGTAATCACCTCACGTAATCCATAATAAAGGTTTTTTGGGTTAGATCGCGTTTATTTATAAATGTGTCGTAACCCTCCACCACCCGACACGGCCAATCAGCAAAAAAAGTGTCACGTTGACAAAAGACAAATAATTCACTACTTCAGCCCACCGGTGTGTTGAAGAGTTAATCCACATTTACAGTTTGAGTACGACGTTTCGCTGGTAAATACTTCCAGCATCATCGGGCAATTCGCCAGAATGGTAAAGCCCTCGCTTGCTCCCGGTTTTATATAGAGCAGAAGAGTGACGTCATCACTTAACTCATCAGGTGCAGTGATTAGAGGCGGAGGGGGGGGGGGGTAATGTAATTATATAATCGATTAGTAATCAGTCATTGGTTATGATTAGTAATGAGTTGTAGATTAGTAATTCTTTAAATCAAAATGTAATGTGTATTATTTAATAATACGCTTCCAGGCCGCACTAAGCCGGTAGCTGTCAGAGCGATTAAAGTTATTCTTGTTCCTCTCAATTTCAATGGATTCTCTAATTAGTCTCACGTAATCATCTCACATAATCACCTCACATAATCGCCTCGCATTAATCGCCTCGCATTAATCACCTCGCATAATCACCTCGCATTAATCACCTCGCATTAATCGCCTCGCATTAATCGCCTCGCATAATTACCTCGTGTAATCACCTCACGTAATCATCTCACATAATCACCTCGCATTAATCACCTCACATAATCGCCTCGCATTAATCGCCTCGCATTAATCGCCTCGCATAATCACCTCGCATTAATCGCCTCGCATTAATCGCCTCGCATAATCGCCTCGCATTAATCGCCTCGCATAATCACCTCGCATTAATCACCTCGCATTAATCACCTCGCATTAATCACCTCGCATAATCACCTTGCATTAATCGCCTCGCATAATCGCCTCGCATTAATCGCCTCGCATAATCACCTCGCATTAATCACCTCGCATTAATCGCCTCGCATTAATCGCCTCGCATAATCACCTCATGTAATCACCTCACGTAATCATCTCACATAATCACCTCGCATTAATCACCTCACATAATCGCCTCGCATTAATCGCCTCGCATTAATCGCCTCGCATAATCACCTCGCATTAATCGCCTCGCATAATCGCCTCGCATTAATCGCCTCGCATAATCACCTCGCATTAATCGCCTCGCATTAATCGCACCGGCGCACGGGAGGGAGAATGACACTGCTGGGGTTTGACGTCTCCCCGGGGCTTGCTACCGGGGGGCCGCGAACCACATTCCTCAACCACGCGGCCAGGCCATTTGAAACAATAATAATGTCGACTCGTAGCGCGCCTCCAGCGTACGGTGCTCGCTCATCGCTCTCGAAGAGAGAGAGGACCACCCGGAGGCACGAGGGGGACCCACAGACGAGCGAGAAGGCAGCGGGAGCAGCAGCCTCTGGCATAGTTGATCCGTTGCCAAATTTCATCCCCTCCCCCCCCCCCCCCCAAGCTCTGCGGTTCTCTATATAGAATGAGCGTTTGCTTGCCTGCTCGCCACTGCCGACGTTGTTTTGCTTGACGGGGCGATGGTGCCTCCCTCCCGCAGGCAGTGCGCGCTGACGGCGCTGAACGACGTGAAGACATACCTCTCAGAGGAGGGCGGCCAAGTGGCAGTGAGTGACCGCACAGACACACGGCGGTCTCGCACAGACACACGGCGGTCTCGCACAGACACACGCGCACACGGCGGTTAAGCACGCACGTAGCGGTCGCGCAGACACGCGCGCTCTTCCACGGGAAGCGTTTCACAACGTCTGTGTGTGATCCACCAACCCTCGATGCTGCCTCAACAGTTCTGCGTTAGAGGCGGTCCACGCTGCTGCACTGTGGGGCATCAGCGCTTGACGAGAAGAGATTCGCCCCAATGTCACGCTCACCCTTGCCACCGCCACCACTCTCAGCGGATTTGTTAAAGCCACTGCCACCGCCGCCTGGGGCAGTGCATTGTGGGCTGCATCTGGATGTTTTTTGAGAAGGGAACTCTTTTGGGATGCCGCGCTGGTGTGATATTAGCTACCTCGCCTGGTATACAGGAGGTCGTGGGTTTGATCCTGACCCTGACGCCTGCTGAATATTTGGAGTTTGCGTGTCTCTCTCCTCGTTTTTCCCTGCACGTTCAAAAACGTGCGTTTAGAGTTTTTGGTTGCTTTAAATTACCACACAAGCCACTTCGTTGAGCTCTCTTTTGTGGGCAGGTCGCTTCTGAAAAGTAGCTACATAGCTCAGTGGGCCTTACCCGGTAAAATACAGATGGTTTATAGTTGTAATTGATAGTTGTTCCTCCCGTGCCACCCCCACCCCCTTCTCCCGTGCCCCCCCCCCCTTCCCGTGCCCCCAGGTGTTTGACGCAACGAACACGACGCGGGAACGGCGCGAGATCATCATGAACTTTGCGAGCGAGAACGCGTACAAAGTGTTCTTCGTGGAGTCGGTGTGCATGGACCCCGATGTCATCGCCGCCAACATCCAGGCACGTGGCCTCCCCCCCACCTCCCTTGCCCCCCTTCCCCCACCCGCATCCCGTGATGCACTAACAGTCCTACGGACCGTAATACCGGGACCGCTAACCGCACTACTGGGGGTCACTAACTGCACTACCGTGGACGTCAACCAAACTAGCGGGACCATTAACTGCACTGCTGGGACCGTAAACCGCACTGCTGGTCGTGTCCACTGCACTCCCGGTCGCGTCGACTGTATGCGTGGTGGGGGTGTGTCTCCAGTTTCTCAGTTTCCGTCCAGCCTGCAAAACCCTCCTTGCGATTGGAATTTGCTCAAAGCAGGATATGGTAAAGGCGCAGCCTTGCAGGTGCTCGCTCACGCCACCGCTGACGGAAGGAGCCTCCACAAGATGGAGCTCTAGAGGGCCCCTTTAGGGAGGTATGTTTGGGAACACCGGCACTTTGCCCCCACCTGGCGATTGACTGCCTTGAAACCATTTATGCTGCTGGGTTGGAAAGAGGCAGCGAAGGGGTTGGTGGGGTGTGGGGGGGATTTCAGAATCTTTGCACCATCGGTCCAATCGCCGCGCAAAGCACTTGGAGCCGGCGAGCACAAGCCGCGGTGGCTCGGCTCGAGAGCGAACGGCTCGAAAGCTCGGAGGGTTTGGGTTCAAACCCTGGTTGGAATGTGGAATTTCCTACAAACCGGTTCTGCAGGAAATCACTCGGGAGCGGGTACATCGCGGCTCGCCAGCGCCCAGCCAGCCTGTCACGGTGACCTCCACGCCCACACAGTAGCCAAACTAGTTTTGAAAAAAAATAAAAACCCACGCTACGGGAAAAACCTGCCACCTGCAGGCCGACATTCCTAGGTAACGCTGAAAGCAAAACGTTGTTATGTTTCTACAAAGTCTCCCACGAAACATCAAGGACCTCAACCGGTTCAGATATATATCATCTACAATCCGCTTGCCGCGGATGATGGCTGCAGCCGGGGATCAAACGCGGGTTTTGCCGTGGTTGGTCGTGGCCGCGCGCTAACTGCTGCGCCACCGCTCCCGGAGCACCCCCACCTCCCAGTTCTGGCGTCCCACTCGGCTTGCTCGAAACGAAACGTCTGCCTACGCACAAAACCCGCGGCCACCTCGAGCTGCCAAAGTGTTTCCGAGTCGTGGGGGATTTGCGGCGCTAATCGTTGTCCTTTGCCCGAGTCCCCGAGTGACGGCGCGGGGTGCACGGCTCGGCACGCCGGGGGTCAAGGTCGCCACGGAGTTCGTCTCGCGATGTCCGTTCGTGACCCCCCGTGTCCTCGCAAACCGCTAGCCGTGTGACCGCCCTCGATGAATGAGCGAGGCGGCCACGATGTAACGTTTCACGACACGATGTTAAGTTCCCCGAGGTGGTGGTGGTGGTGGTGATGATGTCGATCGTCGCGATATTTAACACGCGTGCGGTTTCTTTTCTGCAGCGTGGGCCAAAGACCCAACATGCCAACGCGGGCCAGTAACAAACAGCACTGTCGAAGGTGCATTTGAGATTATACGAAACAATGCGATCGCTTGACAAGATGCATAATCCCCCTGCTCCCCGTTCCACCCGACCGCCTCCCGTTCCCCTCCCGTGTTCCCCTGCCCCCCCTCCCCCCGTGTGTGCTCCACCACCACCACCACCACAGGAGGTGAAGCTGACGGGGCCCGACTACAAGGGCATGGACAAGGAGGACGCCGTGGACGACTTCCTCAAGAGGATCGTGCTCTACGAGCAGACCTACGAGCCGCTGGACGACGTCACCGACAGGTGGTGCCACGCTCCTCCACCTTCGCTCCGCTTCTCCTTGCTTCGCTTCTCCTTGCTTCACTCGGCTTCGCTCCGCTTTACTCCGCTTCTCCACCTTCGCTCCACTTCTCCTTGCTTCGCTTTGCTTCTCCTTGCTTCGCTTTACTTCTCCACCTTCGCTCCGCTTCTCCATGCTTCAGTCGGCTTCTCCATGCTTTCCTCGGCATCGCTCCGCTTCTCCATGCTTCTCTCTGCTTCTCCTTGCTTCGCTCCGCTTCTCCTTGCTTCACTCTGCTTCTCCTTGCTTCGCTCCGCTTCTCCACCTTCGCTCCGCTTCACCTTGCTTCACTCTGCTTCTCCTTGCTTCGCTTTGCTTCTCCATGCTTCACTCCGCTTCTCCTTGCTTCACTCTGCTTCACCTTGCTTCACTCTGCTTCTCCTTGCTTCGCTTTGCTTCTCCATGCTTCACTCCGCTTCTCCTTGCTTCACTCTGCTTCACCTTGCTTCACTCTGCTTCTCCTTGCTTCGCTTTGCTTCTCCATGCTTCACTCCGCTTCTCCTTGCTTCACTCTGCTTCTCTTTGCTTCGCTCCGCTTCTCCACCTTCGCTCCGCTTCTCCTTGCTTCACTCTGCTGTGCTTCACCATGCCTCCCCCTTGCTTCGTTTTGCTTCACCGCACTCCACTTTTCCCTTCATGCTCCACCCCACTCGGTTGGGCTGTGCTTCAATTCGCTCTGCTCCGCTGTATCCACCATACCCCTACTCATGATGAAGAGTAAGCTCTAATACTTATGTTGGCAATGAGAATAGGAGGAATTCAGTGTAAGCTGTGATGATGGGTATGATAAGTAGATGCAGCTCTGATGATGAGTACGTAAAGCATAGGCTGCGATTATGTTGATCACAATGATGATGATCTTAATCGGAGCAAGCTTTCATCGTGGTCATGCTGAGAGTAATGAGTGTAAGCTGCAGTGTGAATGATGAGCGTAACGCACCTGAGCCGTCGCCATGAAGGGCACTGCGAGCTGCGACGACGACAGGCGACGTTCGCGAGGATGTGAACGACGCTAGTAATGAACTCGCGCCGCCATGACGACGTTCACGACACCGCCAAGGAGACGGATGACGCATCTCCTCCTCCGCCTCCTCCTCCTCTCCCCATCTAGCGAGCTGTCCTACATCAAGATCATCAACGTGGGGCAGCGCTTCCTGGTGAACCGCGTGCAGGACCACGTGCAGAGCAAGATCGTCTACTACCTGATGAACATCCACGTGCAGCCGCGCTCCATCTACCTGTGCCGCCACGGCGAGAGCGAGCTCAACATCAAGGGCCGCATCGGCGGGGACTCGGGGCTCTCGCTGCGCGGGAAGCAGGTGGGGGTGGGGGGCAGTGTGGTGGAGAAGTGTGTGGGTAGAGAGAGGGGGGTGTGGGGAAGAGTGTGGGTAGAGAGAGGGGGGTGTGGAGAAGAGTGTGGGTAGAGAGAGGGGGGTGTGGGGGGAAGAGTGTGGGTAGAGAGAGGGGGGTGTGGAGAAGAGTGTGGGTAGAGGGTGGGTGGGGAAGAGTGTGGGTAGAGAGGGGGGGGTGTGGAGAAGAGTGTGGGTAGAGGGTGGGTGGGGAAGAGTGTGGGTAGAGAGGGGGGGGTGTGGAGAAGAGTGTGGGTAGAGGGTGGGTGGGGAAGAGTGTGGGTAGAGAGGGGGGGGAGTGAGGAGCAGCAGGGAGAGAAGCAGGGGATAGCAGCAGGAAGTGAGGTATTGAAGGAAAGTGAAAGGGCAAGTGAGGGATTAAGGGAGAAAGGAACAAGGGGAGTATGAGAGGGGGAAGGTTTAAGGTGGAGATAAATGAGAGAGGGGGGAGTTAAAGAGGGCGAGAGAATTAAGAAGGAAAATAGGGGGCAGACGATGGGGTACGAGAGAGATGAAGGAGGGTGAGTAGAGGAAGAGAGAAGGCAAGTAATGAAGACCAGGAGGGGGGGGGGGGGGGCAGAGCGAGATTAACCTTTGACCCTGTTTTCTCTGCTGCCCCCCACAATATCCTCTCTTCCCCTCTCTCTCCACCTCTCCTGGTGCCCCCCGCGCCCCCCCCCCCCCCCCAGTTCGCCAACACAATGGGCAAGTTCCTGCGTGAGCAGAACATCAAGGACCTGAAGGTTTGGACGAGCCAAATGAAGCGCACCATCCAGACGGCCGAGGCGCTGGCCGCGCCCTACGAGCAGTGGAAGGCGCTCGACGAGATCGACGCCGTGCGTGCTCGCTCACTCCTTGGCTCGTCCGTTTCATTCGTTCATTTATTCACTCGCTCCATTCATACAATCACTCACTTGTTCACTCACTCGACCACTGCATTAACGTACTCCCTCCCTCGCTCACTCATTTATTCATTCACTTATTCGCTCGATTAATTCACTCACTTCTTTGTCCAATCACTATTACTTGTTTAATCAATCGCTCATTCAACCGTATGTTCACTTGCTCATTCGATCACTCCATTACTCATTCACGTATTAATTCGTCATTAATTCACTCGCTCGTTCATTGGTCGGCTCTTTGTATGTTCGTCCGGTATTTCTTCATAACCGGGGGGCGACCATCCTAGCCGGTCGATGGCGGTTGATCACCATTGCGATTGGCGGTGCAGCACGCTCACTACGATGGGGGGGGCGCGGGGTGGGTGGTGCGTGCCGCTACATGCAGGGCGTGTGCGAAGAGATGACCTACGAGGAGATCCAGGAGACGCACCCGGAGGAGTTTGCGCTCCGGGACCAGGACAAGTACCACTACCGCTACCCCAAGGGGGAGGTAAGTCCGACCGGGACCCGACGGCCGCCAGTCCCCTCCAAACTCCGGAAGGGCGACGTCGCAGGGAGAATACATCGGAGCGGAAACAACCGAATAGAAACTGGTGCAAAAACGGCCGCATTTCGAAAGGGGGAAAAAAAAATCGCGAAATAGTGCGCAAACTTGAATCAATTATTCAATAAATACCATGGAGGCCAAATTCAATTTTAAAGAGACACCCGTAGGCATTAATAATAAATTTAATTTGTATAAGTTAGTCGCTCGCTCCCGGAAGAGGGAAAATGACTCGGAGGTGCGAGGAGGAACCACAGACGAGCGGGAAGGCAGCAGCCAGGCGGTAGAGGTGAGCCAACACCACCAGCAAATTGCCCAAGCTCTGTGGTCCTTAAGCTGTTTTTCTTCAGCTCTTTTCAGTCAACCAGTGTTTAAGTAGGCGTTCACAACCTGTGTTACGATCCGTAATCGGTTACTCTTGAGTTAGATCATTGTGTAGGTATAACGCCAATTAATTATCAACTGTGCCCTCCGCCACCCGACACAGCCAATTACGTTACGTGGGGGAGGGAAATCCTCCAATTGCGTTGGTTTTTCAGCAGAACCGGAGGGCGGGACGTTGAAAAGCAAACTAAATTGAACTTTTTGGGGCGGGGGGGGGGTCTTTGTCCTTGCACATGGGCAGTCCTACCAGGACCTGGTTCACCGCCTGGAGCCGGTGATCATGGAGCTGGAGCGGCAGGAGAACGTGCTGGTCATCTGCCACCAGGCCGTCATGCGCTGCCTGCTCGCGTACTTCCTTGACAAGTCCTACGGTACACGGGGGGTGATCGCCGTGCAGACGCTCGTACATGCCGACGCGCGCGTAGATACACGCGCAGGCGTACGCGGACGCATGGTCACGGAGCATCCAGACACAGAATCGCACAGACACACGGGCACACCGGCACCAAGGGCTCCTTCCTCGCCGCCCGCCACTCCACCGCACTACATGGGTTGGTGAAGCAGCCAATCGTGCGCAATAATTTTTTGACGTCATTTACTCTATCCCATCAAGTTACTCAAAAGTACGAATTTGCAGCCCCTTCATTAGTCCGCTGCTGGATGAAAGCCCGTGGACACACGAGGGGTTTGTTTGAGCGTACTTCACCAACGCTGGTGCCGTCTCGTTTCAGAAGAGCTTCCCTACCTCAAGTGCTACCTCCACACGGTCATCAAGCTCACACCCGTGGCTTACGGTACGATCACCGGGTCACGATCTTTGTGTGTGTGTGGAACTTCTCGTCGCACCGTACGTGGCCAACCGTGCTAATCGGAGGTGCCGATGGGCGACAACCTCACCCTCTCGTCCCGTGACGTCAGATTGCCTGCCTTCAAACCAGGGGGGGCACTGGGCGAGGGGTTGTGATGTTTCATTGATTCAATTCGATTCTCGCGGGAATGGGATACAAATGTTCCGTTTTGGCTCAGGGGCAGAACAAAATGGAGACGGAAAGTACTATTGAAGCAGATGACACAAACGAGATGGATAGAACAGATACAGGGTAATGTGCATTTACATGGCTTTTAAATGTGACCACATCTCAAGACATGAGAGAAACAGTGGGCTTACTTATTTTAAAGGAGAGGTAGTCAGCCACACGTTTCTGTGTGAGTCTGTGTGGGTCTGTGTGTGCGAGTCTATGGGAGAGAAAGGCAGTTAGCCATGCGCAGAGGAGAAGAGTGAGGTCTTGAGGCCTGGACTTGAACAGGAGTAGGCAGCCGACAGCAGAGGTGGCTGTTGGGGGGTGGGGGGAGTTCTAGATAGTGGGAGCAGCAGAGGAAGATTGAATGACCGACCTCCCACTGAACTCACGTTATCTCGTCAGATGAGGTGGTCGAACAAGACGATACAAGTGAAGTTACCCACGAATTAAATCCTGGACCCCGAACCGTAACGAGCAATCCAGCCGCGGATGAAACGAGACGTTAGGTCGTTGGCGTTTCGCGCGTTGCTTGGCAACACGCTGACGAGAGAGACTCGTTTGTGATGGTGATCGCGTTTCTGCTGTCGCCCTCTCGGCGGTTCAGGCTGCAAGATGGAGCAAATAAACCTCAAGGTGGAGGCGGTGAACACGCACAGAGACCGGCCAGAGGTGAGTGCTGCTCACCGCTCACTCGCAGCGCACCATACCACACGAATTGGTGGCACAGCCAATCACGTGCAAGTATCTTGAGTCAAAGTAATTTGCACCGAATGCGTGAAGCAGGAATTTTGACTGGTTTGCAAACTAAATCGTGCGCTCACGTGCAATTGGACAATTTGGAACCCTTCGCATTGTTGGCACAGAGAAGGATGTATAACGATGTTCGCGTTTGCCTCGTCCACACAAACAGTGCCCCCCCCTCCCTCCCTACCTCCCTCGCCTCCCTGTTGACCTCGTGTTACCCCTCCACTCCCTGTGTCGTTTGTGTTTCTGGTGTCGCAGGACACATGCGTTTCTCGAGGCGCCGCGCAAGCGCTGAGCACTGTCCCCAACCACGATTAACATCCCCCGCTCATCCTCCTCCTCTTCCTCCTCCACTTCCTCACCTCTCCGTTCACCCAGCCTCCTCTCCTCACCACCCTGCTGCTCTTCACGAGGGCTCGCCCCGTCCCACCCGCCCGCCCGCTCGCCGCGTGCGACGCCTTCCAGCCCTGTCGCCCTCCAATTTTTTTTTTTATTCCTCCGTTATTTTATTGTTTGAAAAGTTCAGTTGGTGGTATTTGCCGTGCGTGCGCACGCACTGTGTGGAGTGTGTGTCACATTCTGCACAAGCCCCGTCGTCGCTTGAACATCTTCACCCTGAACGCGCGTGGCTCCTTGCGATCGATTGCAATACAACAAAAAATATATACGATTCCGCATTGACAGCGCTGCTGCACAAGAGCGAATAACAAAACTCGACGCGTTCGCCTGACACCACTGCCCAGATAGATGGCCCTGGCGGTAGAGCGAGCGGCTCGCACTATGGAAAGATTTCTAAGTTAAAATCCTGGTTGGGGTGGGGGGGGGGTTGACTGGACCCATCATCCCCTGTCGCTGTCCATGTTATTCAGATTACGACTGGGTCCTATTAATGCTCCATCTTCGTTGGCCGGTGTGTTTTGGGGCACTTCCCGTTGATGGCTAAGCAGCCCAATCCTCGAAATGCTAGATCCTCTCCCATGGGATGAATCACACGAGTACCATTTAGTGGGGAACTCAACCAGTGTTTGACCTGAGGATATACTCGCCCTCACCATAGGAATTTCCTACAAACTGGCTAGTGGCCGTAAACAGGAGATGACCACCATGGCCTCTGCTCATGCGAGCAGGAAATCACTGCGACTTGATTTTGAAGTCCGGCTCTGCCGTCTTTCCTCCATGTGCTGGGTAAGAGGAAGGGTCAGAGGGCACATGGAGTGGGGCAAACACTCGGTTTCATGTTAAAGGGCTGCGGTAACTACTGAATAACACATTCTAGCTCTGGCACTAGCTCGCTGCAGCTAGCACACTGGACTTGTAACAGGTGACGTTTGTGCCAGTGACGACGAGCCACTGCCGGACGTGTTGTCCAGTATATATCTGCTCCTCTGCAGGCAGGGGGCAGTGTTATCGACGAACGTGTTGAGTTCCTTAGGTGGAGCAGTAGATTGGCAGAGTTGATTCGATCGCGGCTCACCGAGTCGTCGGGTCTGCGACCGACGAGCCTTTTCCCACCGCGGCGGCGGGCAGTGCTCGTGATGAATGTTCGTCTCCCAACCCTCGGTCGATTTGTAAACTTTTTTGGGGGGGGGGGGGCTCGAGCAAAGCAAGATATTAAAAACCGCTTGTGCCTGAATTTGAGCAGCGCGCAGAACGCGCGGCGAGCTGCAGACGCGCGGGCGCTCGCGAACAAAAAAAATCTCGCGATGCAGATAAGACCCACGCATGTCAACTCCCCCCCCAAAGGGTTCAATCGGTGAAATGTCCAGTGACAAAATATTGGGGGGAAACCCAATAAACTCAGAGGGGGAGCCCTAAGAAACTGAGGCACAGACAGAATTGCGTAGGAGCAACAGGTTAATGTCCACTATTTAGTGAACACCCCCATAGTAAATGAAATAATAACCTTGAATAGTGGTTAGTTTCCAGCCTGATTCTCATGGAAAGGCTGCGAGTAAAGACAACAGTTTTGGAGCTAAACCTTCCATAAGACCTGAAACTACTTGCGGCAGCTGTTGCTGGTGAGGCACTGCAATAAATAGGGCTTTATGTGTGCTAATTTACAACGGGTAAACAACACAAATTGTGAGAATCCACTGTACGGCCGTGAGACACTGAAAACTGTGAAAAACCGCGAATCTCACGGCACACAATGTGAGACTTGACGCGCACGAAGGGCTTGATTCTCGAATTTCAACGGCACTTGACAATTCTAATCTTCTGCAGCACGGCCGAGTGGCACTTATGGCAGCATTTGTGTATCTACTGCCACACAGCCGGTTGGTATTATAGTTGTATTGACGGTTTAACCGTGTATAAACACAAACTGTATCGGTAATTGTATTTCGTCGTCTTAAACGTACAAGTTTACTTAATTCTGTGCAATCTGCTGCTGGCTGGGGTGAGACCTCGGTTTCGTGCTCGATGCGACGGATCCTGCAACCGGCTTCTAGTTGTAATCACCCACCACCGACCTTGCCTCTCGCCTCACCATTTACCGCTAAACCCTCGCCCCCCCCCCCTCACCCCGCTGGTTCCTGTGGGTGCGCGCAGAATGTGGACGTGAGCCGCTCCAGGGAGGATGCCCTGCGGACTGTACCTCTACACAAGTGACTCGCTCACTCGCTCGCTTGCCTGCCTGCCCACCCGCTTGCCCCGCCCGCTTACCCTCCAAACCCACTCGATTACCTCTCTTAAGGATGTGATGGGCTACGGAGGGTACAGGTTGTCTGGTGCTGCCAAGCCACAGGTCTGTGTGACCTGGAGGATGTAGATATCATAGAGAGGGCATCTCGGCATGACCGTGACCCAGTGGTCACTCCTGGCCACAAAGTCTGCCCCCGGGTTTTCCAGTCTCGGGTGATCGATAAATGCATGGATTAGTTTAAAAAACTGGAATGCGTTGGCAGTGGCTTTATCGTCAGGGCTCTCCCCAGTAGCTTCCCAGGAGCACCAATTGCATTATTATCACCGTCGTCATCGCTCTTTCTACCAGACGGACAAGTCCATTTTCCCAGAACTGGTCTCGTTGGAACCCAGCACAGGAACATCGTCATCATCGTCGTCCTCGTCATCACAATCGGACGCCGCTTCGTGATCCAGTCTTTGCCTGCACGCATAGTGCGAGACTGTAAAACGCCGAGCTGGAAAATGTCGCCTCCTCAAAACCGGACTCGCACGTCGCCTCTGGACTTGAACGGCCGAAGTGGCAGCTTTGAGAAAGGCGGCTGCGGTTGCGCTGCAGAGTTTCTCTGTGCGGGACGAAGGGTGGGTGGGTATAATGCCGAGGCCACGATCACTCTCGGGTTTTTTAGATTTTGTGTTTTTTTTTTACACTGTAGATGCTGTCCCGTGGCTCGTGGTAGCGGTTTCAAACACGGTGGTTTTCAAACGCGGCGGTTGCACCGGCAATGCAATCGGTAACACTCGACGCGAGCGGGCGCTGGGCAAAATCGCGGTGTCCGGTGCCGGGCAACCGGCGGTTGGTGCCAAGGAGCCGTGGAAAATCGGAGAGAGATTTTGATGTTCCAACAAAAAATCGGAATCTGCTCCAAAAACATTTGCACCCACGGGCTGCAACGCCACTGTAACAATGCCGCAGGGATTTTATTACGGTTGTTTTAACTGGCGGGTATTATTATTACAGAACGGTGTATCTCAACGCCCATCATCGTGGTCCTCTCCTTGCTGTGCATTTTTTTTGTGATTAGTACCAATCAGGCTCTTTATCCATATGAAAATTAAAGCCTCTGTAGACAATGCACATAAATGATGGTTGTTAATCGTGGAAAGCCATATCGTTGGGAGTGGGGGGGGGAATTGGCGTTGAGAAATGAACGTTATTAGCGCATCGCAATGCAATATGGGTGCCGTGGATTCTTAGCCGGTTCCGTTTTATGCACGCGTTTCAACTTTGAGGGTTGTCACAGGAATTGCAGGTGGCACTTTTAACCTTTATACTCGTATTAAATTTTTTTTAAGAATGCACGCTCGTGAAACTACACTAAGGGGGGGGGGGCTACCCACTCCCGTTAAGGGGGGCGGCATGTCTGGTAAAAAAAAAAGAACAATCCGAGCTCAGTATTTAATGGGCATGTGACGATTCCTCAATTTTTATCGATTGTTACGCTCGCAACACTAAACGCACGCATAAAATAACTGGGCCGTGTTCATCATTTCATCTGCGGAATGATGGTGATGATGCTGCTGCGGTGGTGGTGCAATGGTTCTATTCGATCCATTTAAACATTGGCGAAGTTTCTAAAATTCCACCACTCACCCACCGCCTTGGTCTTCTACCCAGCAGTATATGGGTACACCAGTCGCTCGACAGGCAGGTCACAACATGGTGGGGTTGCGTGTGGGTAACGCCCACCACTTCCCAATTTCTGCAGCCTCCGTGGAAGGATAAACCAAGCACCCTCTAGACATGGGCTGAGTTTCATCTGGGGGGGGGGGGGGGAGACTCTTCTACTCGCAGCACCGTGAGCAGGTGATGTCAGAGCTGCCCCCTTTATCTTGTATGCAAATGTTTCCGTTGGGCTAGCGGAACAAAGGATACTGGGAACGCACGGAACGCACAATGCTCGGCGGTGCGTATCGGACAAAAGAATCGAACATTGAATCGAACCGTGGACCCTCAAAATTAAAACAATTTGATGAATCGCCACGGAGGTTGAATCGTTACATGCCTTGCGCCCGTTGTAAATTTCGTGTTTTTATTTTCAACACTCCGCAATCGGGCCTGCGGAACATCGTCGCGCCACAACAAATATTGCGGCGACGCTTGCCAAATGGAGAACGCCGGGGAAGGTGGGGGGGGGGAAGAGCGGCGCACGAATTAACCAAGTGGCCTACGCGCCGCTCTTGCCGTCGGTCGCTTCCAAAAAAGAACAAGATGCCAACCGCCCTGCCAAACTATCGAGCGGACGGACAAACGAAACGATCGCAGAAAACAAGGCTTTGCACAGCACCAGCAGACAGACCTCGTCGAACGTACGGTGGGGAAGCATGCCGGCGAGGAATGGGAACGGTGGTGGAGCGAGAATTGTGCCGCCGGCAGCTGTTTGAAAACAGAACAAAAACCACGCAGAGATTTAAAGTTGGTGACTTCGCTGCGGCCCTCCGTTTGGAAGATGGGAGAGGCCAGCTGGATCGAGATCGGAGCAATCGCATCTGTGGATTAATATGGGAGGGGGGGGGTCTCATCTCTGGGAATGGGTGGTGGGATCCCGCAGCCCTTCACGGTGATTTGTGCACAAACTAGCCCGCCGACTCCACAGCTGGAATGTAATGCCATCGTTTTGTGTATTTACCTATATCACACGTGGGGAACCATTTCTGTTCTGGGGGGGGGGGGAGAGGAAAAGTTTCATATTCCTTTGGCGGGCAACCACACTTAAGATAACCACTAAACTCTGCTCAAGGTTGGGCCACATGCATTGACTGCGTATGCTCCGAGCTACTTGAAAGACAACTGTGAGTGACCTGAGCGCCACTAAAATTAGAAAAGCTGCAGTGTTTCCAGTATGAAAATATTCCCCTGTAGCACCCGATTAGCGCCGCTGGAATGCTCGCAGGAACGGATGAATGCCATTGGCGTAACGCTGTGAAGTGGGTCGTTGTGAAGGTGGGTCGACCTCATGTGGCTGCGGGTCATGTAAAATGACAGGGTCATGTCTGGCACACGGGGGGGGGGCATAGGTTCCCCCACCCCAAGGTGTGCAGTTGATATGGGGAGACAATGCTGTCCGGTCTTTGATTTGAACAGTGAATTAATGTGACCGACGGTCACGCAAACTTCCACTTACCCTCTGGGTGCGACTCTCCGCGAGCGGGGTCGGTTCCTCGTTTCCATTGCTCGCTGTACCCGACACGCGCTCGGATTTTTGCTGTGCATTAACTTTGTATGTCGGGTAATTTTCGTTGCACAAACTCAGGTGCTTTGGTGTGTGTGACTGCCGTCCAACCAACACGCACGTCCTTTGCCAATTGGCTCGGGCAGGGGTGGTGGAAGTCACGCGAATAAACAACTAAAATGAACAACTTTGTACCGCGAATTGTGGCAAAAAGTTCACAAACCCGTGGCCAAAGTTCACCCAATTTGTGTTTTAATTGCACATTTATAATTGTCAGCGTATCAAGTTTGATTTCGAGTTGGTCACTGGGACTCGACGATTGCTGTATTGAAAAAGTCCGGGTCACTTTGGCTGAATGTATTGAGACGATGCGGTCAGGCCTGTGACTACACGGCGCAGCATATTACCAGATGTTTGTGGTGGTCACCTTTTTAAAGGGGGCGTTTAATCGCGACTGTACCTGTCACGGACATCAATCCACTATCAGCTGCAATGGAAAGACAGCAATTAGACCTCAGGCCATTTTACGTTTTACACAGACTACGTTGTTCTGTAGGGGGGGAGGGGTGGTGCTCTGGTGAATGGTGGTGACGAGGAGGAGACCCTGCTTTTTGCTAAAGTTGAAATTTTTCCACGGAAAGTGTTTTAAAACGGCGAGAAAAGTGTTTGATTTTAAATACCTGTACAGTAATGAAGGCTGAATGTGTTCAACTGATGTAAAAAAAATATAACAATCTATCTTCCAAAGACATCATTACAACATTTGTCGATGTTTAGACTGTGACAATAACAAAATAAAATATTGGGAAGGGCAAACCAGCCCTGAGAACGTCTCTGTGTTTTGTGTGAAATGTCGTTCAGGAAGCCTTGATGAGGCTCAAGACTTGTTCAAGAGTGCTCCACTGTATTTGAATCTTTGGCCAATTTCTTTACAAATATGGAACGTTTTACTTAATTTCAAAATCAGAATCTTTTAAGACTGGAGGAAATCTGGTGAGCTATGAAGCTCTTTCACAGATTTCCAGTAAGGGGTGGGTCAAAGTTACTTCATGTGGGGGAAAACTGGAGAACCCCAGAGAAAAACCACCAGACAGACTGCAGATCCGGAATGACACTGAAAAGGTCTACACAGCTGTGTTCAATAAACCCACTTGCTATACTGCCATCTCCTGGCATCCATCGTGTAGCCCAGTGTAATCGGTAGGAGTTTCACAATTCTATACATAATCCTTGCCCTGCAGTGCTGGATAATGAGGGGTGTGATACCACGTGCCAATGAGTGACTGGCAGACGAGGGTTTTGTTTCTTGGGCCTCACAGGCTCTTCCGTCCATCCCTCCATTTGTCTGTCTCTCTGTTCGTGCATTCCATCCATTCACCAACGTGTCCGTCGGCCCATCCGTCCATCCATCTTTCTGTTGGTCCATTCGTCCATCCACTGCATCCGTTCTAAGGTCCACCCATATGTCCGTCCGTCTGTCCATGCCGCATTTGCATACATTTGAGACTTGGGCCTTCCGCGCCGCTCTGGTGAAAGCGGCAAGCGAGAGACCGCCATCTGGCCAGCTTCAGGGGGGGGGGGCAGGGTCAGCCTGCGTTTGGACACCGCGTTTCAGAGCGCCCCAAGTGTGAAGCTCGCTTCTGAGAATGACCGTAGCGACGCAACAAACACTGGGACGAGGGAGGCCGGCACTTGTGACGAAAAGTAAAGTTTATTAGAGCGTTCTCCGTCACGTGTGAATAAGGTCAAGCGTGGGTCGGACGTGCTCACAAAGAATCAAAACGCTGCAACGCTGCCCCATTCGCTCACAGAAAATGCGTTAAATGTAAAAAAGTTATTCACATATTTACACGGAATGGCTACATGGAAAACGGGTCATATTTGAACTATTTGCAAGTGTTTTTAAGGCATCGCACAGTCATGCCATTTTTGCCCTGTCAAAATGAAAGTTCAGCCAATATATTGTCTGCAATAATAATAACTTAAGCTTGTAACGTGCAGCCATATGGTATTCGCTCCCTCTCAACGAGAACCACTGAAGAGGCGCGAGGAGGAACCACAGGATTCCACTAAATTCCTCCTTGCCCCCCCCATTCAAATTAAGATCTCGGTGTGTGCGTGTATACAAGCAGCGTTGATGGCTTAGCGCGTAGCGTGGGATGCGTTTAACAATCGCGCAGGTGCGTGCAGCATGGATCGAGCTCGTTTGTATTCGAATGGGAGGAGTAAATTGTCGAGCGTGGACCGTGACACCCCCGCACACTCCTGGTACGACCTCTACAGCCCGCACGAGTGTGTGGCCGTCACACACCTGGCTGAGTTTCCTGTGCTCAGCTCTGCGCCTCAACCGCCTCTTTGTACTGCGAGGACCAGTCCGTGGGCGCGTTGCGGTACATCTGTGTGGGACGGGGGGGGGGATCACCACAGGGAATTATTTCAGCTGGGTCTGTCCGGGTTGGCGACTCACAAAAATATTTTCATACACAGGCATTCCGTGTAACTCAACCAACAATGTGAATCTTGGGTCAAATTATCAATAAATAAAAACAGCACTCTTTAAGCAATCGTTTCAAATGATTTCATTTAACCAGGTCAGAGAAATCGAGAGCCTTGGATGAGTCTCACTTGAAATCGTGATATGGGACATCAGCTTGCCAGTAAGAGGCGATAACTGCGAATGTATAATCCCGGTTGAGTAATATGCGGTGTCATTTCATTTGCCAAATTTGGCCCCCCTCACACACAATAGCCTTCTCTTGCTAATTATGTCAGGGAGATCTTTACCGTCCATTGCAGACAACACATGGTAGTACCATCATGCTTATTACACCCGGAGTAATAACCAGGGTGGCCGCTGGATATCAACCCTGAACCTCTGCAACAAGCGGCGCGCACGTCACTCCCCATGAACTGGCGGCCCCAATTGACATGACAAAAATGCCCATCGCCGAGCCAGGTAGAGTCACCTTGTGCCACACGGGGACAACAGCCAATAGGGAGAGGATCTGTGCTCAGGCGCTTTGTTCCGTTCTAGAGAGAGTACAATATGAATGCAAATTCATTCATCCTTCTTCTGAGCAGCCTTAGCTTCTGAAGACAAGATGGCGGCATGCGAGCTGGCTGCCATCTGACTGCTCCAACATTGCGTCTCCTTCCCACCGAGCTCAGTTATTCAGTCCCCCCCTTTCTCTTTCTCTCTTCTGTATACCCCTCCCCTGTACTTCTTCACCCGTTTAATTTTCATCTTATTCCGCTTATCACTTTATTTTATCGGCTGCACGGAGCTGCTGGCCTTGGCATCCGGGCTTGAAGTCCTTCCCGGCCATGATCACTCTGCTGCCTGGGTGCCGGTGTCATTTGTCGGCATGCCGCACGTGCGCTGCCAGCTAACGCACTAATTCTCACCTCACACTCTGCGAACATCTCCTACCGTATCCAAACCGCCTCTCGCAACCCTCCGACACGTCCTTAAGGCTTTGCTCCACCCAGGATAATCTTTTTCCAACAATGACCAGCTGAAATCACTAAACCGTCACTAACAAGCTCACCACTATTGCGGTCATCGCACACCGATCACCATTCATAGGTCATCACCCTGCCCCTCCATCCACCCAACTCTCTTCTTGTCCTCATTCACACCAGTTTATTCAAATGATGTACTGGCCCTAATCCGTTGACTTCACATCAAGACATCTCCTCTGGATATTCTCCCTGGCCATCTGTTTGACCGCTGTGCCGTGGAACTTGCAACCATTATTACAAACATTGCTAATATCTAATTTTCCACTGGCTGTTTTCCTCCTACCTTAAAGGTCGGCCAGGTTTCCTCGCTGCTCAAAAAAATCTGTCTTGGACGCTGCTGACCCATCTAATTATCATCCGATCACAAACCTCACTACCACCTCCAAACTTCTTGAGCGTCTTGCCCTCGCCCAACTCAAGACTCAGCTCACATCCTCACCGAATTTCTGCCCCTTCCAATCGGCTTATCGCAAGTATTATTCAACAGAGACCACTCTGACTAAGATCCTGGACGACATCCTTGACATCGATTCCGGTTCCATTGCTTTACTTGTCAGTCTTGACAATTCCTCAGCCTTTGACACAGTGAACCACAAACGCCTCATCAATCACCTCGAGTCCAACTTCGGGATCAGCGGGACTGCACTAAACTGGATTTCCTCATTGATCTCCGGCAGGTGTTTCACCGTCAAAATTGGGAGCTACTTCATCCAACAAAATTCCGTTGACATGCGGAGTATCTCAGGGCTTAGTCCCGAGTCCCCTGCTGATTTCCGCCTATTCATCTCCCATTTGCCGACTGATTGACAGCTTTGGCGTCCGCTACCACTCCTACGCAGACACCACACCTCTCATCGCCTCCATTAAATCTCCCAACATACTGGGCATCGACCGTCCTTCCGCTTGCTCGACTGCATTACAGCACTGGTTTCGATATCATGACCTCTCACTAAACCCAACTAAATCCGAGGCCATCTTAATTGGCACTAGGCAAAGACTGGCTTCACTCTCACTCTCCCCTCGGGAATCTCAATCGCTGGTTCCTTCATTCAATCCTGTTACGTTGCAATTATGGCTTTATTTTTTGGTGATTTCGAAAACGTTTTTTGGTTTGGACATGTTTGTTTTGTTGTAGTACGGAGTTAGCCTGATGGCCTTAATCTAAGTTTTCTTGTGGTTGTTGTTGTTTGACTTGCATCCCACTGGGATTTTTTGCACACAGCGTTGGTGTACGGTGCTTTTTTCAGGAATATTTTGCTTTTTTTCCATGGATTTTCTGTTTGCACAGTCACATAGTCACTTTAAGATGTTTTCTTGTTCGTGTTTTTGTTTTTTGTTTGTTGCGGTTGCACCCGATTCAAGAGCCGAATGGCTCACAGGGCTATACCAAATAAATGAAGCCTACGGCCCCTGCAACCCTCGCCCTGACTCCCTGTTCATCCTTCGACCAGAATTACCTTCAAGACCGCTTGCCTCTGACCGCGCCCTAATTCCGGCTACCCACCGTGCCAAAGTTCTCTGCTGACGCTTTACACTTTTATGGATCGTAGGCACCTTCGTAGTGGGACGCAGAACCTCCTTGAAACCCCCAGGACAAGAACCGTAATCGCTTCTCGTCATTTCTCCATGGCAGCCTCCGTCATTTGCAACACCATTTCTATTGACATCCTTAACAATCATTCATTTTCTTCGTTCAAAAACCATCTCAAGGCACATCTCTTCGGCTCGACATTTAACCGAGTCTTCTCACTGGACTGCGCGACGCGATCTGACACCGAGCTTGGCTCCGCACCTCGGAATTGCGTCTTTGGTCCGCAACATTGCGCGCGTTATAAACTGGATTATTATGAATATCTGACGAGTTTAAACACAGCCCCGGTAAATAGGCTCGTAGTTCCGCACGGTTGAAGCGGCCATCGCGGCCATCGCGCGCACCTTGGCCGTGAACTCGAGCACCTTCATCTTGGGCACCTCGCACTCGGCGCGGGCGCCCCAGCGGAATTCAAACTCCGGGACGTCCGTGTGCGGCACGCGCGAGCACTGAAGGTACCTGGAATGGCACGACACATGTGGGTACAAAGACCCCCCCCCCCCGTATAGCCTTAACAAACTGTTGGGGCAAGTACTGTTAGCGAGCGTCTTTAAAGGCCGGCATGGCACACGATGGGGTGGGTGGCCAGCACCACCTTCGCCTCCCCAGTGGCGATGTTTACACACCGCACCAGGAACTCGTTTGAGGGTGAATCAACCGAGGGGAGACCCAGGACCGGTTCAGATAATCGTCACCGATGTTGACCGTGAGCGGGAATCAAACTCGGGTTGCCGGGTTTGTAGCGCAATACGCTAACCGCAACACTACTTGCGGGACGCACGCACACACGCTCTTTAATCACTATTTAATTTTGATTTAAAGCTTTCGTGACTGCAGTAATTCATATTCTTAGCTCTTTCGGTAAAGTCACGTTGAAGGGAAATAATAAAATAATAAAAAAATATATAAAAATCACCAGGTGATGACCGTTTGTGTTATGGTCGAAACGTCGTGAGAATTTTTATTGTTTTATATATATTTTATTATTTCCCTTCAACGTGACTTTACCGAAAGAGCTAAGAATATGAATGTATTTAAAGTTGTGCTCTATAGATGCTGCCGTGGTGTAATGGTGAACATGCTATATAATTCCATTCGATCTCCCCGGTGTGGCAGTTATAACAGTGGGACAAGTTTATTAAATCCATCCCTCCTCCCCCGTCCAACCAGCAGTATACATAAAATGGGTACATTACAGATAGTTAGTCTATCGGCAGGTCGCATATGATGGGGTAAAGTGTGGGTCCCTCCCACCTCTTTAAAGGGATGTCTGGCCAGCTTGAAAGAGTAGGCCAAAATACTCTTCACAAGAGGGGATCTAGAGCTTCCTCTAGTGAAGACCCTTCCACCAGCAGTGGCGTGAGCATGACATTGCAGGGCTGCACCTTTACCTCACCTACCTGGGAGGTACAACAATAGGGACAAGAGTCTACATCTGGTATCCTTTCAAAAATCAACTTGTGGCCTCAATGGGCTCTTTACAGCCATGCGTTAATTCAATGCTGGATAAAAGTCTCCCTACACTGGGACAGTCAAGGAGGTCGACATTTTATTGAATTTCACTTCTGAGATGCCTTCTTAAAACATCGAGATCTTTCCTTCCTTTCAGTGACAGTACCAAAATACCCCACCATTGTTGTTTAAGAGATAACACAATTATTTTAAGCTTTCCGAGAACCGACTGTTGCTCAATAACACTGCGTGTTGCCCAGCCGCCAAGCGCCCCTGTACATTAAGAGGCAGAGTGCTTAGTGCGAGTCGAATACCACGCATGGCGTACATTCTGTATATCACCAACACCAGTGTGTACGCCATGGGTGGGGAACGTAAGGCACGCAAGCTCGTACCCAGCCCGCAACTTCATTCCACACGGCCCATGGCTTCATTTCATATGGCCTGCAGCCAGATGAGGCCTACCACTTTGAAGCGGGCTGCTAACAACATTTATCCGTCACAACGAGCACCTAAGCCATACTTATTGGAACTCGAGGGCAATATTTTTGACCTAACAATGCTGTGCTTCTAATTTTAGCACGCTCAGTAATGGTGAGCACTAATTATATTTCGCATTACTGTTGGATAAGACCGAGGCGAGTGCTCAAGTGTGGTCAGCCAAAGGTACGTGAAAGTGTGGCAATGTGGGTGTCCACAATGCCACGCTTTGCCATGCTGAGGTTATGCTGTGTTTGAAGGGGCCAGTGGATGGGACCGCGAGGCGGTGCGATGGGGGGTTTCCTCACCCCCCCACCCCCCCCCCCCCCGTCATCACGGCTGTTCTCCTCCATGGTTTACTCTACGGTGCAGTTTAAACGAAGGCCCAAGGCTCGGGGCATCCGCACTGATTACACCGATCACGCAAATGTATTATTCGCGTGCTCGTTACTTACAGATGCGACGCAAACATTGTACAGCCCTCATTGTGGTTTGAGTTTTGGACTTGCCAACGCCTATTGTTCTCGCCTTCAGCAAACCGTGCTGACCAGCATGGTGAAGTATGATCCAAAAAACGAAATCCATACAGCGTGAGAAGGCCCCCATCCAGCAGCTGAGTAACAAAGGGCTGTACACGGCCAGATGGCTCAGAAGCAGCTGCTGACAATCGGAAGGATGCAAGCCGCTGGCGATGATGGGGGGAGGGGTTGCCTTCGCCCACCATCCCTCCGGGGTCAATACATAAATACCACTTTGTGAGGAAGTCAACAGTGGCTGTCGTATGGAGAGATTACATATGTCCAGAGTACTGGATATCTGTGAAAAAAAGCTTTATAGCTCATCGGATTCCACAGGAATGTGAGATGTCCACCACTGGCTCAGGGCTGCAAGCAGGAGATGGACACCTCCTCAATGCTCAATTGAGCAGCAAATCCCGTTAAGACTCGTGCACGACTATAGAAGCGACCTCACTCACTTTTGCCGCACAAACTCCTCCATGATGAGCTTCTTGACGTCTCCGAACACGATGTGGTGCGTGCTGTGGGGTGGACGTGGAGGAGGGGAACGCGGAGGAACAGAGGTCACAGACGGTGAGAGCGTGTCCCCCTCCCCTCCCCAACGCCCCAATGCCCAGGGCTGTGAGCACCTCAGCTGCGCTGTCTTGGGAGCAGCTAGCACCGAGCAGGGTTGCTCATGTGGGACCGATGGCTGGGAATCACCGCAAATCAAACATAATAATAGTAATTAGTGTGTTTTTTTTGCTTTCCTAGTAATTCATGGAAACTGCATTTCACATCACTGCACAATCTGCAAAATGGAGTGGATATATTAAGACGTTTACAGCTCATTCATGAGTGTTTATACAAGCGGGAGGAAACCGGAGCACCGGGAGAAGCCCCACACGTACGAGTGGGTAACAATATTTCCCATACAGACGGGACAGCTGGAGATTATTCTGAAGTTTGCTGTACCAAATGCTCGTGGAAAGTTAGGGTGTTGCACCTCGACACCCACGGGAAGGGAGTTTCGCAACAGAAGAATTTAATTTGTATTACTTCTAATAATTATACATTTAAGAAACAGGATGCCTTCACAAGCAACTTATTTAAGGTACTGTGGGTCGCAGTAAGTTGCCATCACAACAGTTCAAATTAAGGATTCTTACCATTCAGTGCTAATGTCAAATGCTCCAACAGCCAAACTAAAGCAACGCATGAAATTTGCTGGGAGTAGTGAGACAATATACCAAGCCGTCTTGCCTGGGTGCCTTGTTTTGCCATGAACGGAGATTCTCACTGGTGTGAGACAACCTAGAACACATGGCCTAGGGCTGTATTCACCGGATGAACTATAAACTATTTTTTATTTTACCAGTTAAGGCCCACTCAGCTATATAGCTCTTTTTGCAAAGCGACCTGGCCACAAATGATAGCTCAACGAAGTGGGTTACGTGGTTATTTATAGCAGACAAATACTCTTAAGTGCACAACACTAACAGCGCGTGGACATTAAAACGAAGGACAACATACCTCTGATCGATTCCAAACTTCTTTAGCACATACCACAGCTTTGCTGTAACAAAAATAAAATAAACAAACATTGCCGTGCATTAAAATTTTGAATTACTGCAATTATTTTCCCAGTGGTGTAGTTCCACTAAATATATTTCAACTTGTAGTGGATATATTCATGAGACACAGAGGGTATCCTTATTTATAACATGGTCAGAGTCTGGGGGTGGGTGCGGCAGGGGTACAGTTGATCACGCACGGAGCTATGAACAGATCCTGGCACACCGCCCTTCACAATCCTGTCCTGGCCAGCATGGTGAAGTATGGTAAAAGAACGTCCATGATCGACAAAGCCAGGGGCGGAGCCAGGGGGGTGACAGGGTAGACAATTTTCACCCCCGAAAAAAAATAAAAAATCGAAAATCTGAAACATTCTACGTATAAGTGAACGACACTCGGTCTGGCGGACTCCGTGCAACTGTATTGTCAGAGTGTGTCGCCAACCGATGGCGTGGGGTATAGCCCATTTCTTAGCACGTCGTCCTCGGCCTGCTCCTGAAGCGCAAGACAGGCCTGCCCTTCAGCGGAGGCGTGATTGTTCGCCTTCGCCGCCGCCGGATGAAGAACGGATTTCGCCACAGTCCGATGAGCAAGAGCGACAGCTACGGCCTGTTCGCGCTCTGGATCGCGACCTCGCCACGAGGCGATGGCGGAGTCGGACGCCGAAGTATTGCGCTACGCGTATCTGCAAGCGGGACGGTTCGTACCGCCTCCGGCTCCACAACCTGGCCTGACCAGGACGTTGAAATACCCATCCAAATTTTGATTTAAAGCTTTCGTGACTGCAGTAATTCATATTCTTAGCCCTTTCGGTAAAGTCACGTTGAAGGGCAACAATAAAATGATAAAATATATATAAAACAATAAAAATTCTCACGACGTTTGTGTTATGGTCGAAACGTCGTGAGAATTTTTATTGTTTAATATATATTTTATTATTTTATTGTTGCCCTTCAACGTGACTTTACCGAAAGAGCTAAGAATACCCATCCAAGTTCGTTGGCGGCGCTACCCGCCGCCCGGCGGCGTCTGTTTGTTCAGTTCGACTGGCTCGAGTACTCGTTCAGTGAGTCTGTTTACTGCTTCTATTGCTACCTCTTCCCGCCGTCGTCAAGCGCAGATAACGTTGCGTCGGCATTCATCTACTCCCCCGGCTTCTCAACCTGGAATAAGATCGGTGGCAAGAATTGCAGCCTACTCAAGCATCAGGTTGGGCACAAGTCGGCACACAACATAGCCTTGAAGAAGGCCAAGGACCTTCTCAACGTCCGGCAGCACGTCATCACGGGCGACGCTGGGCTGGCCCGACAAAATGCCAAAACTATTGACGGCAACTTCAAGCGCCTGGACGCCTCCGTCGACGTCATGCACGTCTGCATGAACCAGGGCATTGCGATGCGGGGACACGACGAGTCGCCTGGCTCTTAACCGGGGCAATTTTCTGGAGATTCTCAACATGTTACGCAAGCGCGACGCACTGCTTGCGGCCATCACCTGGGAGAACGCGCCGCAGAATGCGACCGTGACCAGCCCCGACGTTCAGAAGGACCTGATCCATGCTCACGCTCAACTGGTGCGCCGGCGCCTCGACACCGAGATTGGCGACGCGTACTATTGCATCATGGCGAACGAGTCGCGTGACGTCAGCAAGAAGGAGCAGCTGGTCGTCGTCAACCGCTTTGTCGAGGTCAGTACGGGCATCCTGCGCGAGCGACTCGTCGACATTCAGCACGTGTCGGACACGTGCGCGCCCACCCTCTGCAGCGCCATTGTCAACCTGCTCTCGAGTCGCCAGCGCCCTATTGAGACCTGCCTCGGCCAAGGCTACAATGGCGCGTCGAGCACGAGCGGTGAGATCGCTGGCTTGCAGACCTTGATCGAGGCCACGAACGACATAGCCTACTGCACGCATTGCTGGGCGCATAAGCTGCAGCTCGCTCTCGTCGCTACCTGCACAAATGGCGTCGCCGACATTGCCGTGTTCTTTGACCTCGTCCAGGACATAATCCACACTGCCACCAGCTCGTGCAAGCGCAACGACCAACTGCTCGCCGATTACAAGAAGCTCGTCGACGACCTGGTCGATGAGCTGGCGGTCTCCACTGGCCGCGGTCAGAATCAGGAGACGGAGTTGTCGGCGAGATGTTCAAGGCGACTGCCGTCGTCATCTAGAACGTGGAAGTGGACGGTGCCAAGGCAGAGCAACGGGCCGAAGCTCATCGCCTTCTCAACGACATGTTCTCGTTCAAGTTCGCGTTCTGCCTGCACCTGATGGAACGCTTGCTTAAGATCATGAACGATTTGCACGTGGCGCTGCAGAAAGAGGACCAGGACGTTGTCAATGCGATGCGGCTTGTAGATTGCACCATTGAGTCGCTGAAGGAGCTGCGCGAGAACGGCTACGACGATCTGCTGAAGGACGTCAACGCCTTCTGCGACGTCAACGAGGTACCCGTCGTCGACATGAAAGCGAACTACACCCGCCCTGGACGTCCTCGGTGCTGCACCTACATCATTACCAACGACCACGCCTCAATCGACAAGATGCTGGTCGAGCTCGATCTGCGTTTCAGCGCGGAGTCGATGAAGATGTTGCGGCTGGCGGTCCATTTATCGCCCCGCAATCGATTTGAGTCGTTCAACATCAGCAAGATCCTGGAGCTGGCCCGTGATTTTTACAATCGCGATTTTCCCGATCTCGACATGCTTCTCGAGCAGCAGCTGCTCCACTTCGAACAGGAAATCCGGCGAGATGAAGAACTGAAGAATGTGAACACGTTGCCAATGCTGTCCATCAACCTGGTGACAAGCGGCCGCGGAGATTCCGGCTTTCACCTGGTCTACCGCCTGTTGCACCTCGTGTTGACCCTACCGGTGGCCACCGCCACAGCCGAGCGCATCTTTAGCGCGATGAAGCACATTAAGACCCGATTGCGTACCACCATGGGCGCCGAGTACTTTACTGACGCGATGCTCCTGTTCGTCGAAAACGACGTCGCAAAAGGCGTCACCAATGACGAAATCATGGAGCAGTTCCAGTCGATGCGCCCTCGCCGCAATCGTATCGTCTGAACTCTAGTTCAACAGCCTGACTCTAATCATTGTTGAAATTAAAATTTGTTGAATGTCACCCCGTGCTGAAAATTCTGGCTCCGCCCCTGGACAAAGCGTGGGCTGACCATCATCCATTGGTGGATTAAGGGCCGTAAATTATTATTAAAATCTAATTTAGACCATAAGTCTAGTTTTCAAGGCAAGCCTGATTTTAACTGCAGAAAACACTAGCGGATGCCTTAGAAGTGCCTACTCACCGTAGAAGACAAAAATATAAGATAACTCAATTGGTGAATGTTTTGGTCTCGATAAAGCCAATGTAGCAGCTTCTGGTGGTTGGGAGGGGAAAGTCATGTCAACCCATTACACGCAACACAGATGGATCGAACAACGCAATCTCGCACACCTACAATTTGACGCGCGTATCTGCGAGCTTAAAGTTCGACATAAATTGGCGGATCGAGGAGGCCGTCGTTAGCCCCCTCTGGAGTGTTTCGAGTGGCGATGCAGTGTGGCGCGCACCACACTTGAGGACGCCGCCCTTCATGAAGATGATGCTGAGCAGGATCATGAGCAGCCCCAGCTTCTTGTTCGCACTGCCGGGGGAAACCGGGAACGAGAGACCAGGCACAGCGAGTTCCGGGCGCATTCAAATAAATTACACAATTCAACGGGTACATATTTGGCATTCACGACAATCTCAACAGTGCAAAAAGGCGCTCGCCAAGGAAGGCGCCATGGTTATGCTTTGTAAGCTTCACTGGAGACAAGGATATGTCGCGTGAGAGCTGGGCACATTGCAGCAAGGTTCCTCGACCATGTTTTCCCGTGGTCCACTTAAAGTTGGCATGTTCTGGTGGACCACGTGACATCATGTGGCACGTGTACAGATGTTACGGGCCTGTGATGTCACATCTGTGCATGGGAACACTGATGTGTACCTCTTGTCTTGAGGCCTCGAGCCTATATATCATGCTTCAATCTCAATATTTATCTTTCACTTGTCTCTCATCTCACTAAATAAATTGTATCCTATCTTTGCGGATCGTAGCGTGGCTTTTATGGGTCACGTCTAACCCATAGAAAACCGGATTCAAGAATCCTGCATTAAAAGGTATTTGGCGAGTACCGAATGCATTACAGGATATAGTGCAACACGGCGGAGTGAAGGGAATTGCACTGGGTCCAGTAAAGCTTAATAATGCAAACATAAGAAGAGAATGCCACAGGTCCCAACTGCGTCCATTAGTGAAGTAGCGGCTTAGTGGAGTATAACGTATTGATATTAATAGCTAAGATTAATCCCGGTGACCGAGTGTAATAAAAAAATATATAACCAGACAATATGATTACTTGACATTACCATCTCTCTACATTAAAACAATATTTAAGATACAACTCATCAACCACAAACCCACAAACTTCTGGAAGTGCACAAATTAATCAGAACTGTTTTAAAACAAGCAAAGACTGGACTAGTTCCAACAGATTCAATGCTGGTGGACTGCCGATCTTGCAGGCAAAGACCCTTCCGCTTACACTATGGGGGTTTCAGTTCGACACAAAATAATATAAAACCGTGCTTGAAATGATGCTGCTGAATTTATATCGAGATTGATGTGTGAATTAGACATTGTCTGCTTATTGTTTGTTTATATCCTCCACAAAGAAATGTGGTGTGGTGAATGTCCACATGCACTGAAGCTAAGAGAGGTCTCATGAATAGATAGAAGTAATACACTGAAGGTAGAGTTAATCACACTGCAGTACATTATTTCAATTGAAAACTTATTTTCGAAATCGCAAACTAATTTCTTGGTTAGTTTGTCATCCTTCCCCCGCACCTCCGATTAGCACGGCTGTCTATGTACGGTGTGAAAGACGTTCAACATTCATACACGCATGCATACAATTAGTTAGATACACTGTGCTGTTGTCCAATGCAATAAGGTGCAGGCTGGACCTGTCAGCTAAGGCTTCCCCAGCATTGGGAATCTTATTGACGAGGATGAAAGAGTGCAACTTGGAGTCAATCTCCACCAAGTCCATCCCAAACACCTGCACACGTATACACAAAAACAAACACATGGTCATGTACACAAACACCTTTCGTAACACACATGGAAAAACTGCTGATGATACCACAAGTAAAAAAATAGAGCCAATGATCCCCCAAATAGCCTTTAACAGATTGTTTGGACAAGTGCTCTTAGCGAGGAGCACCTATGAAGGCCGGCATTGTATATGAGGGGGTAGGGTGGCCAACACCACACCTGACCACCTTTGTCTCCCCAGTGCTGATATTTACACACCACAATAGGTACTCATTTAAGGCCAGTCGACCTAGAAGAGGCCCAGGACTGATTCAGATAATCAAGTGATTATTTGAGTGGGAATCAAAGGTTGCTGAATCCATACCAGTGTACTTACCACTATACTACCATTCCTCAATTTTGCACGCACATCAACAGCTACCATTTGCCACTAAGTTACGGTGATGCCACCACGGCGCTTGTGCCAGGCCAGGTGCACTCGAGGCCACGTGAAGTGTCAAAAGGCTCGCTGACAGGACGTCATGGGACAGACCCAGGTGCTATGGGTTGACTGAGATGACTGGCAGATGCACCACCTGTGGCCTCTACCATGCCAACTTGCTGCATTTTAGCCGCTTGGCGCTCCGCTCGTTGTTGCGAGCGTCACTCCTCTGCTCTCCGTTGTTGTTCCAGGGCGACCGTCTAGAACTGCCCAGTAGCGTCCTTGCCCAAGTATAGAAAACTTTCCATTCTCTCTCCAACTGCCCCATGACCAATGGGCAGTTGAGAGGGTGCATGCATGCACACACACACACCTCATTCATCTTCTTGGTCACCATCTTCATCACCGTGTTGATGAGATAACGGTGGTCCTTCAGCACGTTCTTGCTGATATCTGCAGCAGGAGCCAACGGCACAACACGAGCATAGCTCAGGTTTCAAGTTTATTTTTTTAACCAGGCGAGCACCACTCGGAGACCAGGATGAGTCCCTTTTGCAAGTGTGACCTGAGTACGGGCAGCCAAACCATCTCTACAGATGAAGGTTAAATAAAAGCCTATTGGCTGACATATCGAGCAATGCCCCTTCTTCAGCAGTGCTGTTGTTTATTGTCTCCCATCTTCTCCTGTTTGTGTTCATCACAGTCTCTTGTGGCATGCACAGTGTCTTATCCCTAATGTTAATCCACGGTCCCTTGTGTCGCATCAATAAATTGCAGGCGTCCTTCGCATGAACGCGCGACATGCGTTGATGAAAAACAGCGCGTAAGTTGGATCGCGCTGAATGAACCCAATTTTCCCAGACATACATTTGTAAGTGGGGGTGCGTTACCGAGTAAAAAATAAGCAATTTCACTTCATTAATATAGCCCTGGATTTACAAAGTACATATAAATGTAATACATTACAAAGAGGAGTAACTTCAGGGCTTCTTGAATGCTTCCGTGGGCTGATGGCAGCAGCACGCATCATGCAAACAAATGCAGCAGATCTAAGGTGGCTACGCCCAGCCCGTGACACTGGACGCTGCCATCACACGGAGATGCCATCAGAATTGTTTTATTTTACTTAGAATTGTTATCATTGAAACCTATTTTTTATTTAGAAAAATTAAATTTCACAATGTTATTGTTTTTTATTGAGTGTGTAGCTGTGAAACGCATAATGTAATTGTGAAATGTTCCGAAAATATTAATCGCGTAACTGCCAATGCACGCTATAGGGGGTGCGCACTACGCGAGGGATGCCTGTATCTTGTATTTACCAGTCTCTTGTGTCTTGTGTAAATCACAGTTTAATATTGTACGCGCAAAACTCTTTTGTCAATTCACTGCTGAATGAGGGCCTCTCTCTGCCGTGTGGGTCGTGGGGGTTTATTTGACCATACTTCACCACGTTGGTCAGTGTGGGTTTATGAAGGCGGAGCAGCGTAGAAGCACAGCACACTAATTGATTTTGCTGAACTGCCCTCTCCGCTGCCCACAATATAGCCCCAGATTACGAAAGGAGGTTGCCCATCCAAGCATAATCTCCAGGATAATTTGGTCATTGGAGAGTTTACCGTTATCTCCACGTATTGTTTTAATACATTTGTTTAATTTAATTTGTAATGTTGCTGCTTCATAGCCTACACATCTGCAGACACATTTCTGGCGGTTGCCCCACAAAGAATAATGTTGTGTAAATGACAAAGATGATGATAATAAAAACTATGATGCTCATGACCTCACGTCACTGCAACATTGCATCAGATACGTGGCAGATAATTGTGTTGATAATGATGACAGTGATGACCTCACCTCATTATAACATTGGTAATGTTTTAAACACTCCGCAACAGGTACAGGTGAAAGGTTGAGTCGACCTAGGTAAGGCCCACGACCAGTTCAGATACTGATGAGCAATGTTGGCTACGAGTGGAAATCGATCTCAGGTTGATGGTTTCGTAGCGCGGTGCGCCAACCACTATGCCACCGCTCTCCACAGCGTACGCCCACACACTCACGCACACACAATGGCCACACACCTGATTTTTTTATAGGGATCTTCTTCTGGTCTACAGTCAGGATGTACTGTATCACCTCGCTCACCTGCGACCCACACACATGCACAAAATCGCAGCTCGTGATTTACTCTGCTCGTCTTGCAATTGCTGCCATGTGCACAACAAAGCAAGCCGGCAAGTGGCATGCACGTAGCCGGGTGTCGTACTTTCTGTTCAAGTTGCTTCGGCGAGATTTTCTGCTCCGCGCACTGCACCCGACTGCTCAGCTTGGAGGAATCTGGTTCATCGTCGTCCTCGTTCGTTCGGTTCTGTGATAAAGAAAGAAGATGCAAGGGACTGATCAATACAAGACGCGTGGGACTATGATAAAGGAGATGTAAACCACCATGCTCTGATGCAAACCACAGCAGACTGTGGATCATAAACAGCGCAGTGGACTGTGATTGACACAACAACGGACTGAGTTTGAGATAGGACAACACACTGTGATTAACACAATAATGAGGTACTGTAATTAAGACAAGCCTGAAGGGAACTGTTCTCAATATGACACGAAACTGTGATAAGAAAAAAACGCACGGTATTTTGACCAACTCGAGACAATAGGGCGTTGCAATCGACATACAAGGCATCGTGATTAACACAAGCCATAAGCGAATGTTTTTGACTGACACAAGGGACTGTAATCAATACGACACAAGATACCGTGCTCGACTCAAGCCACGAGACAGTGATTATATAAGACTCAAGGGTCTGTGGTTAAGGTAATACACAAAATAGGTTATTGATAGACTACAGGGGACTTTGGTCAACATTGAACACAAGACACCTTGCTGTACACAAGCCACCAGAGCCTATGGCTAACTTAATATACAACAGAATATGAATGATACAAGTTAATGATCAATACAAGATACAATGGACTGTGATCAATACAAGGAAAAACCATCATGTCAGCTCTATTCACTGAAAGAGCCATGAATACTCTTCGCCAAGTCATGCATTTCCTATCGAAATAAATGTTGATTAAAAAAATCACTCAAGGTTGTGTGCAGCTGCACAATGAACATGTCATCTGTGCTTTCTGTATGTTACAGGCACTGATGTAATACAACTAATACTGTGGTAATAGTTCTAGTATTGTAGTATTAAAAAACTCATTCGCAAAGAACACTCGGGCCTTAATATGCAAATACAGGTACTTGGAGTCCTCTACTTACGAAGGAGTTATTGTTCCAGGTCTGTTTGCAAATAGATTTGTTCGTAAGTCCAACTTTACTCCTGTCGATTCCAAACATGTTGTACGGCGTGTACACTAAACATGGGTAATGGCTTTAAAGTTGTATAACCTCCTGTAGATGCCACTGGTTCTTCACGTTCTGCATATGCCACTGGTTCTTCACGGTCTGCAGATGCCACTGGTTCTTCACGTTCTGCAGATGTAGATGCCACTGGTTCTTCACGTTCTGTAGATGCCACTGGTTATTCACGTTCTGCAGATGTAGATGCCACTGGTTCTTCACGTTCTGCAGATGTAGATGCCACTGGTTCTTCACGTTCTGCAGATGTAGATGCCACTGGTTCTTCACGCTCTGCAGATGTAGATAGCACTGGTTCTTCACGTTCTGCAGATGTAGATGCCACTGGTTCTTCACGTTCTGCAGATGTAGATGCCACTGGTTCTTCACGTTCTGCAGATGTAGATGCCACTGGTTCTTCATGTTCTGCAGATGTAGATGCCACTGGTTCTTCACGTTCTGCAGATGTAGATGCCACTGGTTCTTCACGTTCTGTTGATGTAGATGTCACTGGTTCTTCACGTTCTGCAGATGTAGATGCCACCACCGCCATCTGCTGCACGGCGGTTGAACTTACGACTCTCGATCCGAACAGGCAACTGGACATGGACAAGTTTATTCGTATCTCTGTTCATAAGTTGGAGTCTCTGTATATATAAAATAGGTGACGATTCGGTCAATGACCCTTCTGAATAGCACATAGTGCGCTTAATGTGCTTTGAAGATGGATCATTGTCCGAACCGTCACATTCTATATACAGTATATGTATACATTTAGGGAATTTTAAACTATAATGTTGGGTTGTTTGTGTTAATTGTGTTTACGCACCATTGTCAACACAGCAGCAAAAATATATTAACTGCGGCATTCGTTGTGGAACAAATATTGATTCATCGATCGAAAGAAATCCCAATGATGAACAAATCGAACTACAGTTGTGAGAATCCATGTCTTTTCCCAGTCACGTGTTGAATACAATTGCTTCACAAGAGTCGATTAAATTGACTAGAATATTATACTGCATGTGATTATAGAAAACAGGTACTGTGGGCACGTCACCCAAACAATGTTAAATTGGTAGTGTGCCCATCATTAATTGGGCAACGTTTCGTATAACGACCCTTCATAGCAACGTTGTTGTGCAAACTTTTGCGCCGAATGTTGCAACTACGATTCGGGAAATCATGAAGGGACATTGCCCGAACCGTCACCTAACCATCTTTTGAAGGCCACAGCGTTATTGACGAATAATTTTTAAGTCTTATTTTAAATACTTCTAATGACGCTCACACCACCGTAGTCACGTTTCGAAAGTACAACTTGACATTCAAACTCAATAGCTCTGAACCAGCTGTATCACGTCGTTTGGAATACTGTACCGTAGTCTACGTCTGTGTAGTATACATTGTACTGTAGTATATTATATAAATCAAATCCGGAAATTCCACATTCACACGGCGAGGGATTGCCAACCAACAGCAACACCACCTGGCGAATGCTGTTTTTGTTTTGTTATCAGTTAATGTTAGAATAATTCATAGTTAATGCAAATCGACGCGTTAACTGTACATGTTAATTAAACAATTTAAGTGACTAAGCCAGACTACAACATTGTATAACATTGAGTGCATCGGTGGTTAGCAACGCACCGCGCTATGAACCCCAGCACACCCAGTTGGATTCCCCGTCACGGCTAACATCAGTGGCGCGCGTGATACAACATGTACAGTGATACAACATGTACAGTCATACAACATGTACCGTCATACAACATGTACAGTACAATAATCATCAGATGTGTAGTTAAAAAGCGATCCCTGTACTTAGCCCTCCCTCCCCTCACCAGCCAGCACCAAACAACTCCCCCGTGACCGACACGCGGCGTGGGGAAGCCCTCATCCAGCAGTGGATCGACCGAGAGGCTGTTTAATTATTTTCTCAAATTAAATTTGTTGTAACTTAAACATTAAATGTTGTTAAGTACTGCAGCGTAAATCGCTCACCCGTTTTTTTTGCGACGCGGGGACTTTACTCTTCTCGGTCCGGCTGTGCGCCATAGCTGATGAACCAATGAAACGCTCCTCGTAACTTGTTAGAAAGTAATATTTTATATATAAAGAAGAAAACGAATTACCGTTTAATAACAAAATAAAACACTCGCTACTTTTAAACGAGAGGGCGGGAAGACGCCAGCCAGTCGAGGCCAAGCCCAGGCCGCGGTTGTGCGCCTCGTCCGCTGTGCAACATGGAACTGAGGCATAAAAGGTTCCGGGTAACACGTGGCTGCCTCTGCAAGGATAAAGGCGCAGCCCTGTAACTTCTTCTCACGACACCACTGATGGGCTGAACCACCTCCACCGAGAAGGGAGCTGTAGGCGAGGGTATTTGGCCTACTCTTCCACCCCGGCCGAACTTTACCCCGCCGCCTCCACGCACGTCCTTCCTGAGCATAGACTAATACTGCGGTGTATAGCCATTGGTTGATCGTGTGACCCATTGCAGATGGACAGAGGCGTTGTTTTACACTACCGTGTCGGAAGATCGAACCCGAGACCTCAAGACCTCTATTGGAGCAAATAAAGTGGAACTAATCCTTATCCAGTATTGTACCACGGCAGCGTTCGAATGCAGACTCCTCTACTTACGAACGAGTTAGGTTCCAGAGGTTTGTTCGTAAGTCGATTTTTGGCACAAGTCCAACTTTACTACTGTCGATTGCAAAAGTGGTGTACGGCATGTACACTAAACACGGGGGAATGGCTTTAAACGTTGGATAATCTCCTGTAGATGTAGATGCCACTGGTTCTTCACGTTCTGTGGATGTAGATGCCACTGGTTCTTCACGTTCTGTGGCTGTAGATGCCACTGGTTCTTCACGTTCTGTGGATGTAGATGCCACTGGTTCTTCACGTTCTGCAGATGTAGATGCCACTGGTTCTTTACGTTCTGTAGATGCCACTGGTTCTTAATTTTCTACAGATGTAGATGCCACTGGTTCTTCACGTTCTGTAGATGCCACTGGTTCTTAATTTTCTGCAGATGTCGATGCCACTGGTTCCTCACGTTATGTAGATGCCACTGGTTCTTAATTTTCTGCAGATGTAGATGCCACTGGTTCTTCACGTTATGTAGATGCCACTGGTTCTTAATTTTCTGCAGATGTAGATGCCACTGGTTCTTCACGTTATGTAGATGCCACTGGTTCTTAATTTTCTGCAGATGTAGATGCCACTGGTTCTTCACGTTATGTAGATGCCACTGGTTCTTCACGTTATGTAGATGCCACTGGTTCTCTACGTTCTGCCGATGTAGAAACCACCGCTGCCATCTATTGCGCGGCGGTTGGACTTACGACTCTCGGTCCGAACAGGCAACTGGACATCCGGGCAGGTTTGTTCGTATCTCTGAAATTTCGTAAGTCGAATGTTTTAAAGTAGAGGAGTCCCTGTAAATGCTTTTACGTCACCACGATTTTCTCATTATCGGGTTATCATAACTTATTTAGAACAGGGTCCCGGCATGGGGATGTTTGAACAATTAATTGTTAACGACAAATACTTAAAATTTGTTTTGTTTTTACAGTAATACTCAATTAGTTTCAAGACTGTTTTCAAGAAGGTCCTGTGTCATTGAGATATTCGTTAAAGCCCCATGATTATTTAGCTTCAACCGTCAACCGAAGAAACCCGCAGAAAATCCACCACGCAATAAGAGAGGGAGACACCAAAAACGTATCTTTTATACAGAGAAAGCGACAGTGACATTTCCTATTTAACATTGATTTGTATCCAGTAAACATGCAACGTTGGGCTAACATCGTCCCATAACGTACCAACCACATACCAACATTGGATTATTTAGAACTTCTCATTTCACACAGTCGTTTTTGTGATATCTACTGATGTACTTTTAAAAAACTTTTGTCATTTTAGTAACCCCCCCAGGCCACTCTTGAAAAATGAAACTTCTGTCTTGTTCTCTGGAGTTCTCGCCCAATTAAACAAAAAATAAACTTGAAAGTCAGAGACTTCTACTGCCATCTACTGTTACACCGGTACACACCGTCTGTGTAGTGGTACACGCGTGATGTTACGGCATCATGTTGATTTACATACTGAAGTGTTTAAATGCCACCACATGTCAAGACGCTGTACAGAAACTGTGGGCATATTTATTTTATAGAGACAGAGGCAGTCAGTCATTAGTCTCACTGCGAGTCTATGGGTCTGTGTGTGCGGGTCTGTGGATGACGCGGTGGCGAGATGTTAACTCCCTCGCCAGGTACACAGGAGGTCGTGGGTTCGATCCCGACCCTGACGCATGCTGTATATTTGGAGTTTTCCAAGTCCTCCCCGTGGTCGCGTGGATTTTTCTCCGGGTCCTCCGGTTTCCCCCTTCACATTTATAGTCATGCTTTGAGAGTATTTGGCTGCTATACATGTCCACATGGTAAGCCACTTCGTTGAGCTATCATGTGGCCAGGTCGCTTCTCAAAAAGAGCTACAGTATATAGCTCAGTGGGCTTTACCTGGTAAAATAAAAACTTAGTTTAGTTTCTATGTCATAGGCAGAGAAGAGGAATATCTTAAGCCTGGAAGTGAACAGGCGTCAGGGAGTCGACAGTAAGGACGGCTGCGAAAAGGTAGTCCCAGGCTATGGAATAGGAAAGGAAGATTAAGTATTGTGTATGTTAAGTAGTTAATATTTTGCGACTGAATGTTTTGCGAGTATAAATGTGCCCTGCTGCGGAGTTGAATCCACATGTCCTGTCAAGTGGGAAATCCCACTTGCAGTGCTTCCATTTACTAGCTCACAGTCCAGCTGGTTTGGGAGTTTCACAAATCCCTGCACAATCCACCAACCCTCGCCTCCAAAGTGCTGGATCATTGGCGTGCGAGCCACCGCACTCCCTACAGCTCTCCGATGTTTTCCAGTTGTACCGCTTGTTGCTCGGCATGTCCGACGTTTCGATCCACGTGCCGATGCAGCTTTGATGGGTTTCAGATTGTGAATAAGATTCACAATCTGGAAACCCATGAGAGAGCTGCAAGGCACAACCGCCAAAAACCTACGCAGCAACTTTCTTGCTGTTTAAGCGACCAACGTAGTGGCCCTCCATCTCCATTGGTTGTCTCGGCGGTGAAAATTCCACGTTCCCATGCCAGGAACCAGTCTATCCAAAGTACAACCGTAATACGGTTGTTTTAGTTCCGATTTATATTTCTTCGTTGTGGTGCTATTTTATTTTATTGGCTTTTCTCGTTTTGGTAACCTCAGGTCACTCTTGCGAGACTTAAACATGAACTAACTGCGGACTTCCAAAAGGCAGTACTCATTGTATCCACCCTTGAATTGATGTAGATGATGATTGGCTACAACCTCGAACCGAGCGTGCTCACACAGCTGCACACTTCTCAAAAATGAAATAATATATCGCAGCGTTAACGTCCATAAAAAATACAATAAGTCGTTTATTACGAAGGCAATAAGCATCGCTTAATCAACGAGCGCACAAACTCGTACAAGCGCCCCAGCTAAACGACAGACATTTACAGGCTGGTAAAAAATAACAGCTACTGGCAAGTGAAAGATAACACAAGAATGATACTTAAACGGCTCAATCAATCCCTTACATTTAACCAGCAAAGCCTCACAAAGCCTAAACTACTAATTTGCAGGGGAGTCCTGCAAACATTCGCAGTACGGGATGACTCACCATATGCTTAATCCTTAAATTACTGAAATTCAAAAATATGGGGGTAATTGTTTTCAATGTCGATGTTGAGTAACGGGGTCCCCGTTGCTGGATTCAAGTTCAAACCGCTTCTCTGGCAACTCCAGGGTCCTCAACAGTAGTTCGTAGTCATGGCATCTCTTCAGGGGCTGTTTGACACAAGGCGGTGAACTGATTTTTGTGTGAATTACGAATTAGTACCGACCCTGTTGTTGTGCGTCTACTTCCTGTTCAATTGAGGTTTATAAGGCGCCCTTACACACAATGCATCTCTTTAGAGTATTCGGTGGTTGCTATAAATTTGCACACGTTAAGCCACTATATAGCTCAATGAGCCTTAAACAGTAAAATAAAAGTTTAATCGTTTTATGTCAGAGCGCCATTGCACGTTCAACTTCCAAGTTGGCAGGAAACGACGGCGTTTCGCCACTCTTGTGCCATTAAAGTTGACTCTTTTGTTACTCCTGTTTAAACTACGTTTCTCTTTTGCTCGTTAATGTGATATTTATTTGATCTACCATATCTTACGAATGTAAGATTCTCTCACTCTCACCTTCATTTCCCCTACCAGAGTGAACGTGTCCAAGTGTCTGCATTTGTCCCAACCACCTGTATGGCGAAAGGGTCTTTGTATGTGTGTATGAATGTGTCTCTACATGCACGAGTGTCTGCCCCGTGACCTCTTACCAGCGAGCCTTCGACACTTCACGTGGCCTCAAGGTGCACCTCGCCTGGCAAAAACACCGTGCTGTCACCGCCACTTAGTGGCGAACGGCGGTTGTTGCACGAGTATGTATGCGAATATTTAAAAATATATAGTTTAAGGACAACTGTGAGATATGCTTCGGGAAACTGTAATAAAATTATCATCAGCCATTGTCAATCCACTGCAGGATGAAGGGCTTCCCCCAATGCTGCCACCAAACCAAACCTCTCACGAATCTGCTATTAAGTAATCCATCCTGCTTCATGATTGTTTCAGCCTCCTCGCTGGGCATCCCTCTCTGACGCACTCCATTCCTTGGCTGCCACTCCATTATTATCACCATTAAGATAATTAATTGGAGATACAAAAAAACAATACTTTAATGTGTTTAACATTGTCTTCTCTTGTAGAATCACACGGCTAAATGCATCTTCGGAAAAAACGAATTATTTCTGTCGATTTACATTAACCACACCACTACACACCTCATTGGAAGCAGCAATGTCTTATGATAGTCACATGTTCCTATGAACAACTCACACTTTAGATTTGTAAACTCCCAAACCTGCACAGCCAATCTTCTGGTTGGAAATGCCGCAGTGTAAATTTCCCCTGCAGTTTGTGTGTGGCTTCTGGATCATTTATAATAAAAACAGTTGTTTATCCAGGAAAGCCTCACAACTGCATTGACGACGTTTATACAATTTCCTTTTTTTTTTCAATGAGTGTTTCACACGTGGGAGGAAACCAAAGGATCTGCATAAATCCCACCGCGCGTGCGAGCAGACAAAGCTCAAAAAGTCAAGCAAGACGGGTCAAGAACTCTGTTTCCTGTACTGCCACCCCACTGTGACCTTGGCAGCCCGGTAGGTTGTAAGTCTTAACAACATATGTGAGGATGTCCGTATGATCCACCACCCTCAATTAGAAATCGCGGGAACGTGTGTGCGTGCGTGTGCCACAACACCTAGGTTTTGGAGAGTGGACCTCTTAAAGGACTGTATACTTTACACGCTGTGACAGAGGGTCGTGGGACCAAGGATAAACTGTTTATCAGCAATGTCAGATGAGCCTCAAGAAGTCCAATGGCACCCACAAACACTGGGAATGAAGTAGCTACACCTGTTATATCGTTCTAGCCACCAACCTTCCCCTTATGGTTCAACAACCATAAGGGAAAGGACCTAACACCAGATGGCGGTGTGATTTGGGGAGGCCTCTACCGTGCATTTGGCAACTGCAGAATCTGGTGGAGGATAGAAAGCGTTGACATTGAGGATATGTGGTGGCCCTAATGACATTTTAATCTTGAGATGATTGCCAAGATGAGAAAGAGGTCGTGGGAAATCGTCATCAGGCGAGTTTGGAGATGTCCTCGTACGGAATGTTGTCAAGCTTCCGTCCCTTGAGGGGGCCCTGCCAGCAAACACAAACACACACATTTGGTATTCTGAATAACCACTGTGACCGATTGGGCAATGCTTGGCCACAGGCAAGACCTTGGCTGTTCTCAATTCTCATGCCTTTTAAGAAGGGATATTTTATTATGTTCACGACTGCACAAAACCTTGCTGATATTCACAAATAATTTCTGTGAAGTGAGGGCAGTTGGGAGAGGAGGGAGGCGGTTTAGAGAGGAGAGAGATTTGCGAGCGCTCCAGAGGGCAGTTGGGAGAGGAGGCGGTTGGGAGAAGAAGAGGGTGGTTTGGTAGAGGAGAGAGTTGGGAGAGAGGGCAGTTTTGAAAGGAGACAGTTGGGAGAGGCGACAGTTTTGAGAAAGTGGTTAGGAGAACGAGTGGCTGGGAGGGAGGGTAACCGCTGAGAGAGTGGGAGCCTGCGTGAGCCTCTCACCGAGTCGATGGTGATGCTGACGCAGAAGCGGTCCTCATGGATGGCGTTGAACACGGCTTCCAGACCGCGGTAGCCTCCGTTCAGCACCAGCACTTTCCGGCCTGCGCCGTGACAACCCACGACGAATTAAAAAAAATTACTACGCGTAACTTCCAATGCCTGCCAGAAAGACATTGTTTTATATTTAAGTAAATTGTACACAAAAACATACGACGAGTTTCCATTTTAATAACGACTTCACCTTGTAACGCGTCGCCCCACAGTATTTAATCACTCTCAATGAGAGCAATTCAGAGTCGTGAGGACGAATCACAGACGAGTGTGCAAGACACCCAATTAATGGTAATGAAGGAAACAAAACAAAATGAGGGGGAACAAATGAGAAACAATCTAAAACGAGACGCTGCCAGGGAGAAAGTAAACGTAACAGGGTCCGTACAAATGGCACAGACGACACACATCACAAATGAAAAACAATACAAACGAGACGTAAACATAAGGCGGAAAATAATCAATGCTCAAATAAAATATTGACGATCCAACAACTCACCAGGGGGTGGATCGTTACAGGCCCTATTTACTCTGTCTTAGGATAGACATTGCTTGATTTTGATACTTAGAATGTATAAAGTATTATTATCCATCCACTTTGATGGGAGCAAGTGCTCATCTAAGTGACTACGCCCTGTTCAATCAAACAAAGGGGTGGCACTCACCTCCACTGGCAGCTATCTGTAGAAATTCCACATTATCACGGTGGGGCCCAGTCTGATCATCATCTATCCCTTTACCGCAATGGTCTTGGGGGTCCCACTGAATCTTGGGCCCTCAACTCTCCCCAATCTATCCATAGCATTACCATAATCACTCACCGCTGACTTCCCACAGAAGTGGTACTCAATGTGTCAACCCATGAAGTATGATTATGATGACATTGATGACAATGGTTGGCTACATGCCAGTGATGGCCCTGCGGGTGTTACTCACCTAGCGCTGGCAGCACCGTCTCCACGTGCATCTGGTCGACCTTCAGCTTGTCACCCGAGTCTGTCATGCGTACCACCGCCACATACTTCCCCTGCACCTCCTACTCACATCATAAATGGACAGACAGATGGGACGCACAAACAAATGAGACGGACAGATGAATGGACAGATGGACAGTCAAGACAGTTGGACAGTCGGACAGCCGAATGGACAGATAAACGGACAGACAGCATGTTAACGATTGTCGTAATCGTGGATCCTATGCATCCACGGTGCACGATGTACGGATACATCAATTAGCAGACTTAACTCGATTCTTATGATCGCGATGATGCATGCTTCAATGGGAGTTTGAGGTGGAGTGCATGCCTATAATAACAATGAAATACATTTTAATGTTATTATAGGCATGCCTATACAAATGTATTGACCAAGTAAAATAGCTTGATAAAGGAGTTCCTGACGGTTTGAACAAACTTGTCAATGCCCGACTGCAATGTAATCCCTGCATGTATGTGTATACATCACCGCCACTTAGTGGCAAACGGCGATTGTTGTTGTTATGTGCGTGCACATGCGGTTCGCACATGTACTCTCAACAGCTACAGCCATACCCTGGGGTAGCCCCGTGAATACCGCACCTGAACAACAGCCTTCTTCTTGAAGTACCGGTCACCCAGCTTTTTGGTAATCACCTTCACCACGATACCCTGGCGAAGTACACAAAAAAGGACAATGATACCCCCCCCCCCCATATATCCTTTAACAGGCTACTGGGGTAAGTGTTGATAGCGAGCACCGATGAAAACTGGCAAAGCACACGAAGAGGTGGGTGGCGAACGCCACGCCTGGCCGCGTTTCTCTCCCCAGTGCTGATGTTTATAAACTGCACCAGGTACTCATTAAAGGCTGAGTCAGTCTGGACAAAGCTCAGTCTGGAAAGTTTGGATGGCCGGACAATGTGAATGAAACAGTTGTTGTAGGCTGCTGTGGGACTACGTTGTCAGCAGAGGGCATTGTTATACTTTTACTACTCTTCCCACCTTCACCAACCCACATTGACCAGCGTGGTGAGGTATGGTCAAACAACCCCAACGACCGACACTGCTTGAGGTAGGCCTCCATCCAGCAGTGCAGCATCAAAGAACTCAGTGTGAACACAGCTACATGCGTAGTCGTGGTTTGTTTGTGTCTCGCGGAGTCCTCACCGGATGGAGCCAGTAGTCGCTTCTCTGCACTTTCCTCTTCTGCTCTTCCATCTGCAGAAAAAAGGAAAATGAACTGCGAGTGAGCCGCCAGTTTCATTACTAACCTCTACGCCAGTGCTTTGCAACCGGTGTGCCGCAGCACGCCAGTGTGCCGTGGCAAAGTCCCAGGTGAGCTGCGGTTTTTTTGGAATTATAGGAAAAGAACCTCACTAATGTCCACAAGCTAGGACGCGTAAACTCTCCTCCAAGCCGTTCAGTGGCCGATCAAGCCCCCGTCCGCCACCTCCCGCCCTTCCATTTCCATCGGTCACGCGTGTGCGCAGTATGGCAGCAGGCAGCTGTCAGCCCACACCCACAGCCCTCTCAACCCCCCCTCAATCGCAGAAGCACCGTGGGATATTTTGATTCGTTGTGTCGGGAAGATAAATCGAGCTCGAAAGTGTGCCGTGAAGTGAAGAAGGTTGAGAAGGTACCGCTCTAAGCGACCTATCTTCCCACGCTCACCCCCAATATCTCCACCTCCACACCCCCCCAACCATCACAGCAACCATAGCCATTGTGTTACAAGCAGCTGCGCATGCGGTAATAATTTAAACTTGTAATCCGCCGCACAGTATTCGCTCACTCTCCGAGTCAGAGAATGACCCAGAGGCACGAGGAGGAACCACTGATAAGCGGCAACGAGCTGGCGCTGCCAACAATGGCCCAAGCTCTGTGGTCCTCTATATATTAAGATGTTCATCCAATTCATAAGTGTATATATATGTGTGTGGGAAGCAGCCAGAGCACCCGAAGAAAACACACGCGTGTGAGGGGGCAAAACTCTTCGCCATACAGACAAAAGAGATGCAGCGTACATTTTAACATCCTACCTTCTGTCAAGCCAGGGTCTGGCACCTCGACGTCAATGGGAAGGGGGTATTCCAACAGGTGAAATCCACCAACTCTCGCTGCTTTCACAGTGCTGAATTATTACAGGCGTGCGTAGCCACTGCTGCCCGGCAAGATACACGTATCACGTCGTGCGTGTCATTTGTGAGAAAGGCCCACATGCGAACATCACCTCCATGATGTCATCGAGCGCAGACTTCTTTTTCTTGCCATCCTTTTCGCCCACAACGGGGCCCTTCTCCTTCCTCTTTGTGCTACCGCCCGGCTGTATTGCGCTCGCCAGGGCACTGCCGATGGGATGCGGGTGCGCGGAAGACGTGACAACGGTTATGCCAGGAAACGTTGAGCAAACACACGCAGAACAGGGGGGGGGGGAACATACCAACTCCACACAGAAAGGGTGCCTGAGCCAACAATCGAACCCAGGTCCTTCTTGCTGCGAGGCACAAGAGGTGTAACCACACTGCGCAACACCTGTGTACCCTTGCTGCACAAAACCGTGGGTGGCTGATAGGGAGGTTCGGGGTGGAGGGGGGTGGGGTAGCACAAACGGGTACAGGGAGACTCACCTGGGTCTCAGTGATGCAGACGACGAGCTGGTGCCGGCCCCCATGCTGAACGTCACTGCACAGACACAACCACATGACACCTCCCACTTAACTACACGGAATGAAGGGCCAAGCACTGTTGGTGAGCACTTAGTAAGAGGAAGATTCAAGCTATATCTAAACAAAAAAAGGATAAACTCTTACTTGTAGAAATGCACTATTCTATTCTTGCGTATGGCAATATGTTTAGGAGCTAAATGCCAATTCGAGGTTTGCGAATCATGAGAGGAGAGGGAGAGAAGGAGTGTAGACTACAGTGGTTTACGATATGGTCCATAGTTTGGGTTGCATGATCACAATAGCATGAGCCATACATTTGAAGTCTATCCCATCATTAATGAAGTCCATGACACCATAATCGAGGCATGTAGATGCAAGAGCTGTTTGTGTCCTTTGGATTCTATCTTCTTTAGAAGCTCTAATGACAACACGAGTGTGGGTGGCGTGGTAAGCGCGATGGCAAATCCATGACACAATGTTAATATTGATACACTGAACCCATGTGAACAAATTGAGGCTGAGGTGACCTAGGGGAGGCCCTGACCAAAGTGGGAGGATTACAAACTGGCCATGGGTGTGCAGTGTCCACACGCACCCAGCTGGGATTCGCTCTCTCTCTTCAGCTCCGTGTAGACGGACGTTTCCTCCTGCTGAACACACCACAAGCCACTCAGCCGGCATCCATCGCACACGATGGCAGATGTGGAGAAAGTGTGGCTCCTCCGCTTCTCTGGTGTTATTTACTTGTGCCAACCACACTGGCACTCACTCACCCACCCACACGTGCACAAACGCACAGCCACATACCAGCCTTGTGCAGGCTCCAAAATAATATGCGCACACATGCCGACACACCACCCCAAACGCTACCACACAAAGACAAATATCCCCCGTATAGCCTTTAGCAGACTGTTGGGGCAAGTGCTGCCAGTGAGCACCTATGAAGGCCGACAGTACACGAAGGGGTGGGTGACCATAACCACACCCGGCCACCTTTGTCTCCGCAGTGCTGCTGTTTACATACCACAACAGATACTCATTGCAGGCCGAGTCGACCTAGGGGAGGTCAAAAACCGATTCAAATATTCACCACTGCTAATGGTCGTGAACGGGAAACGAATTCGGGCTGCCGGGTTCATAGCACACTGTGGCTAACCACTGCACTGCCACTCTCCAACCTGACGCACCCCCACACTCACACAAGTCCCCACACCACCAAAACAACCCCACACTCGCACACACTTCCACACACCCCTTCACCAATACAGACGAGGGGGGCTGAATGAAGGTTCCTTCTGTTTCGGACTAATTCTCTTGCACTGCTCACGTCTAATCCTTTCTGCTCTACGTTCTTCGGCGTGTCTTCCCAGTACATTCTTGCTATTCCTCTATGTTCTTGCCGGTCTTACTCTGGCATGCGTCGCCATGTACGGAATCCTCTCTGCCTCAACAAACAACCCCCCCCCCCGCCGCCCGTCGCTCACCTCCTCGAGGCCCTCCTTGCCGCGCCGGACCTGCTCTTCGATGAACTTCGCGGCGCGTTCCTCGTCATCCACGTCCTGCTTCTTTTTCTTGTCGAGCTCCTGCTGGCGCCGGATCGTCTCGGGGTCACGGTCAATGTACTGGATGTACCAGCCCTTGGGCGTCTCATCCACCTTGCAGTAGCCTGCGCGCCCGATATCGGCAATGGCTTCTCGTGAGCTCGGTGAGAGGTCGTTCCCTCTGCCCTCCTCCACAGCCATGCGACTTCTCAAAGCTCCACCCGCACCGTTAATTGAGACCACTTTGCCCTGATACTCCGATTGCTCAACCGGCTCCCAATCCAATCCTAGATCAATTCCTAGATTGCACTCGCCATCTTAAGATCCTACAGAGACTTGCACCTGCCTACCTCTCATCTCACTCTGCTCCCCTCCACGCACTCTCCTACCTCTCCCCTCTCATCTCACTCTACTCTACTCCACTCACTCTGTTTCAGGTACATTCATTCAATCTCCATCCAGCAGTGGATAGACCATGGCTGAGAATGCAAGCATGAGTGCATTCACACATGTGTATGTATGTATGTTGAACTTCTTGTGCACCATACGTAGCCGACCGTGCTAATCGGCGGTGTCCGTGCACGAGCGCATACACGTGTGTGTGCGCGTAAACACGAACCTTCGCGGCCAAGCCACTTGGTCAAGTCGGTGAGCGTCTCCCACTTGGTGGAGTTCATGTGCACGTGCTCGCGGTGCGAGATGTACTCGTTGTACACCATGTTGTTGTGGACCCTCTTGGTTCCTGCCGTGCAAGACGCGCTCACGCGCAGTGCCCAATTAAGAGCCAATAAAACTAGCAGCTCTCATCTAAACACGGAAAAAACTCAGCACATTTGTTAACAACACTGGCCTGAAATAAAAAAATATAATTGGTAACGTTTCCGGCAATGGTCCTTCTTCACTGTGTAGAGAGGGGCCCGAGGTAGATTGGGGAGTATTATTATTGGACTGTTATTGACGAATGTCGAACAAATGTTTTTTTTGTTATCAGTGCTTGTGCACCACTGCCAACACAGCAGCACCACCATCAAATACTGTAATTAATCTTAAATTGGCTGCGAATTAAACACCCAACTCGCATTCCGGAAATGAGTCAGGGCTTGACTCTACTATCATAATAACCCCCGGGGTAAATAAAATCAGGATCACTTTGTGAGAGGTTATTAGTTTTTCAATACAGAAGCTGGTCCCAGTCATAAGAATGTGGAAATTGTTTGCATCGCCCAATGCTCATTTGAGCATTCATGATAATTTCAGATATATTACCGGAATGTCTGGACTCTATCAAACAAAAAATAAGAACGACTGTATTGATAAAAACAAAAAAACTGGTAAAAAGACGTGGCATATTTATTCAACGTTCAAGAAAATGTAATGAGCTTTTAAATGCTGCTAACAATGAGGCAATGCACAGACAGTGTTGGTCGTTGAGTTGTGTAAGAAATGCCCTCCTTACCAAATCTCCGACTGAGAAGTTCCATGAAGTCACTCAAAAATTCACTGGGAAAAAAAATGGACAAGAGATTAACTTCATTGTCACTGAACATTACAAGACTCAAATCGGTTGTCAAATTACAGTTATTTACTTATTCCCAAAGCAGCACAAGGCATCGTTATGAGTGCTTGTCATCACCAGTGGGCTGTCACTCGATGCAGTAAAGAATGCTCTAGCTAGGGTTAGATTTAAGGTTAGTGTTAGAGTCATGTTGTAGCCAACTTAAGCAACAATATCATAATTTATCTACTAGGAAAAGCCTGAGTCTCAAGACTCTTTTTCAGGAGCATCCTGCATTGGGATTTGTGGCCAATGCCAATAACGTGTTTCTGCCATGTGGGTGGAAGATGTTTTCAGTGCAGGAAATTAGGGGTAGGATGCGACAGATGGGAGGGCATTGAGATGACGTTATGGTTAGAAGAGCGAATGAAGACACTTCATGGGAGGAAACACCCACACACAAATACACTGTCGCAGGCAAAGGGGTGGATGTTGAGCCTGCAGGAACATGGTTCTGGTTGTATTTAGCAGGAGCCAAGCTCACTTTGAGTAGAAGTCCATGAAGTTCTCGGGGTTCTCCGAGGCTAGCAACAGCTGCCGCTGGTGAGACTCGGACAAGCAGTGGCACTTGAAACCATTCTGTGAAAAGCAGATAAATTTGGCCCAGTCAGTAATCAAGAAGAACAACAACTGACGATGGTGATCATGTACAATTGATGACGATGATAACTGATGACGGATGATGACGGAACTAAGCATTATGATTATTAACCAATTGATTATGATGGTGAACAAATGGTGATTTAACTAAACTAAAAACTATTTCATGTCACCAGGAAAGGACCAGTGAGCTTGTGTATCAGGCGAGGTAGTTAACATCTCGCAACCGTGACGCCCCATATCATGATGAATTGATGACATTATTACGGTCGCTATGAAAATGGTTAAGTGATGAGGATTATGAAGGTGAACAAGACATAACAACATTACCGTAATGAACAACTGATGAGGAACGATTTGATAAGCTAACCTTTAAGAGGATGATGAGACTGATGACGATGAAAAACAACTACTGATGGCTGGTGATGAAACAATGATGATCACTTTGATGGCTGGTGATGAAACAATGATTATCACTTTGATGGCTGGTGATGAAACAATGATGATCACTTTGATGGCTGGTGATGAAACAATGATGATCACTTTGATGATAAAACTAGTGATGATGATTAACGGATTAAAGGATGAACAGACAGGATCAATGATGATAGTGACTAGTCTTGATTTGCATCACAAATAACCTTAAAAAATGGGAAAACGGTCAATAGTTACTAAAACGTCTGCTTTATAAATCTGTCCACGTAAAATATAATTATTTATTTAACACATCCGCCCCACGGCCATGTGTTATGAATCAGGGCCATTGCCCGAATCGTCGCCTCTGCGGCGACGTTATTAACACGGGACGCGTTGAGTTATGTTGATACTGTATTGTTATTATTTATGCTTGTACACCATTGCCACCAACGCAGCAATCAACCAAATCATGCGTTGTCACACACGACATAATCATGAACGGGGTGGTGATGATGACGGCGGGGATAACCTCACCTCGTCTCGGCACTGCTTCTGGCACATCTGGCAATACCATCGCAGCTTCTGTAGGCCCTTGGCCTTGATGCGGTTGGCGATCGCCTTGGGCGTGAGGAAGCCGGCCTTCTCCTTCCCCATGTCGACGCGCCGAGCTTGCGAGCGCCTTGTACGGCCTCCACCACCACCGACACCTCCTCACTCAGCACCTCCTTCCTCGTCACCCACCCACCAACACCACCTCCTGCTAACCCACCACTCTTCGTCACCCACCACCACCTCCTCACCCACCACTCCTCTTCGTCACCCACCACCTCCTCTTCGTCATCCACCTCCTCACCCACCACCACCTCCTCACCCACCACTCCTCTTCGTCACCCACCACCTCCTCCTCACCCACCACTCCTCTTCGTCACCCACCACCACCTCCTCACTCACCACCACCTCCTCCTCACCTAGGGAAGGCCGCCCTGAGCAACCCTCCTCACGGCTGTCGTAAAGCGGATGTGACGTCACCCCACCACCCCCTGTGCCACTCCACTCACAGCCCTTGCCTCGAGGGCTACACGGGGGGTGGGACCTTTGTCTTTGTGTACTCGCGTGTGTCGTAAAATGTTGTTTTTGCGACGGCCCAAAGGTGCCGTAAAACGATGCCCCCACGCGCGGGTCCCCATAACGACAACGAGTCAACAGGGAGAGCGAGGGGAGAGAGAGCCCCTGGCTCCTAGGGAGAGAGAGAGCCCCTGGCTCCTAGGGAGAGCCCCTGGCTCCTAGGGAGAGAGAGAGCCCCTGGCTCCTAGGGAGAGAGAGAGCCCCTGGCTCCTAGGGAGAGAGAGAGCCCCTGGCTCCTAGGGAGAGAGAGAGCCCCTGGCTCCTAGGGAGGGAGAGAGCCCCTGGCTCCTAGGGAGAGAGAGAGCCCCTGGCTCCTAGGGAGAGAGAGAGCCCCTGGCTCCTAGGGAGGGAGAGAGCCCCTGGCTCCTAGGGAGAGAGAGCCCCTGGCTCCTAGGGAGAGAGAGAGCCCCTGGCTCCTAGGGAGAGAGAGAGCCCCTGGCTCCTAGGGAGAGAGAGAGCCCCTGGCTCCTAGGGAGAGAGAGAGCCCCTGGCTCCTAGGGAGAGAGAGAGCCCCTGGCTCCTAGGGAGAGAGAGAGCCCCTGGCTCCTAGGGAGAGAGAGAGCCCCTGGCTCCTAGGGAGGGAGAGAGCCCCTGGCTCCTAGGGAGAGAGAGAGCCCCTGGCTCCTAGGGAGAGAGACCCCTGTCTCCTCGGGTAGGAGGAAAGGAGGTGAGAAAATCTCTTGTCTTCTCATCGGAGGTAGGGAGAGGAGAGAGAACCCATCTGGAGAGAGAGAGAAAGGTGTGAGTGGTTCCCATCTCCTGGGATGAGCAAGGTGAAGTAAAGGTGTGGGAAGACCTCCCACCCCTTCCGTCTCCGAGGATAGCAGCAGAGGACACCCCGGTTTTGGGAGGAGAGGGAAGGAGAGACACAGAGACCATGCCTTCCAGCAGAGACGAGAAGAGCTAAATAATAGACCCCTATACCCTGCCACAGAAGGAATAGGAACAGACCCTGTCGCATGAGAGGGCAGTGGAGAGACAGCCCGTATCTTGACCCTGTGTCCTCCAGCAGACAAGACAGTCTCCATCTCTTGGAAGAGGATAGGGGAAAGACCCCCCCCCCCCCATCTCCTGGGAGAGAAGTGATATCCTGTCTCGCGGCAAGAGAAGAAAGGGCTGTTTGGGAGAGAAGAGAGACCGCATCTTCAGAGAGACGCCTGTCTACCCGGTAGAGGAGGAGGCTAAGAGAGGGAGGGGTCCGTGTCTCCCTGGGTCTGGGTATTTTTCGGGGCCCCGCAATGGAGCAGTACACGATCCTGGGTCGCATCGGCGAAGGCGCCCATGGGATCGTGTTCAGAGCCAAGCACATCGAGGTGAGAGGGCCAAGTCCGTGCGTCACTAACATGCCAAGCACGTGGGACTTACGTCGCAACATAAACCTCAGCCCTTGACTACTCCACTGACACACACGTCACTGACAAGGCAAGAACACGTGGCGTGAGAATTAGCATAGCACGTCGAGAACACAGCGACACGTGTCACTGACACGATCGCAGCACGTGGACCCTGTACCACTCACATGTTTACACGATATCTGCAACATGTTCCGCTACCCAGTAAACATGGAAATGTGGGGCCAACGTCGGCACGTGGTTGGAACTGTTGGACCAACGTTCGGCCAATGATGGCCTATCGTTCCATGTTTACTGGGCATGTGCCTGTATCAGGGTATATATATACAGTATATATGCATGTACAGTTTATATGTTGAAGATCTATAAGTATCTTGGGGTCATTCTAGATTCAAAACTGAATTTTGAAGCTCACATTGATTATATTGGTAAAAATACAAATAAAAATTGGTTTTCTGTATCGACACAAGCACTGCTTCCCCCCAATGTTCCGTTTGGAATTGATAAAAGCTACCGTACTGCCTCTACTTGACTACTGTGACATCGTGTATAAATCAGCCCCAAGTACTGTACTGAAGAAGCTTGATTCCATCTATCACTCGACCTTAAGATGTACATTGAACTGCCCATATAGGACTCACCACTGTGATCTCTACGTTGGGTCAAACTTAACATCTCTTAATGTTCGACGGCTTGTGCACAAGATCTTATTTATTCACGATGTACTTACAAAAAAATCCGCAGACTACCTGCTGGATCTCCTCTCTGTTTCAAAGAACAAATTTGACCTCAGGTCTTCGATCATTTACCAGCTTCACATTCCCTATTGCCGTACAGAAACTGGAGGGAGGGCCTTTGCTATTGATGCCCCCAGGGTCTGGAATGCTATTGCCAATAAGCTGCAACTTGAATCGCTACCAATGAGATCTTCTCTCAAAACTGCTCTAGAGGAGTTGTACACCCCGAGCTGCCACTGCTATTCATTGGCGTAAAATAAAATGTTTCGCTCCGGATGACGCTGCAAAGTATTATCTATATTTTGATTTAGGGTGCTGATCTTAAAGGTGCATTGAAAAATTTGACACTCCGACTGATGCTTCTGTTGTTGTGGAGTAACTCATGCAGCCAGCTATGGCTCTAGGGTTTGGTGTTACATGTTATTTATGTAGTTTATTGTAAAAAATTCGGTCACAGTCCCTATGATCACTGTTACATTGCAATTATGGCTTTATTTTTTGGTGATTTCGAAAACGTTTTTTGGTTTGGACATGTTTGTTTTGTTGTAGTACGGAGTTAGACTGCTGGCCTTAATCTAAGTTTTCTTGTGGTTGTTGTTGTTTGACTTGCATCCCACTGGGATTTTTGCACACAGCGTTGGTGTACGGTGCTTTTTCAGGAATATTTTGCTGTTTTTTTCATGGAGTTTCTGTTTGCACAGTCACATAGTCACTTTAAGATGTTTTCTTGTTCGTGTTTTTTTGTTTGTTGTGGTTGCACCCGATTAAAGAGCCGAATGGCTCACAGGGCTATACCAAATAAATAAACTGAAATATACTGAAACTGAATGTACAGTATATATGCAGGGCTTAATTTCAACCGGTCCTGTCTGGGTCAGTGACCCGTGGAACTATTTCCTGACCCGGTATACCACATCCATCATACCTCTTGCCTATGACTGTGGCAACATCATACCTCTTGCCTATGACTGTGGCAACGACTGATCACGTACCATCTCTTGATTTAGCAGTGACCCACAAAATATGCATTGAAAATAAATCAAGCCATATATGTATATATTTTCATGGGATTTTCTTTCTATATTTCTGTATAATGTCTTTACATGTGGGTCGTGACCTCACCGCCAGTGAGCTTGCAACACATGCGTGGCCTCAAAGTGCACCTAGCCTTGCACGAGCACCATGGTGACCTCACTATTGTTGCCTGGGTGTCCACAGAGTGGGGAGACAGTGGCGCTGAAGAAAGTGGCCCTGAGGCGCCTGGAGGACGGGATTCCCAACCAGGCCCTGCGCGAGATCAAGGCCCTGGAGGAGATCGAGGACAACCCCTACGTGAGGGGACCCCTATCCCCTCCCTGCAGCCCCCTCTCCCCTACTCTCCCCACAGACCCTTCTCTCCGACCCTACCTTCTCACTGCAGAGCCTCTCCCCTATGCCATCTCCTACAGACCCTCTCATTTATCCTTCCCTATCTCTACCCTACCCTCTCTCTACCAGACCCCGGCATCACCATCTCGACCCTTCTCCCCTTCACTCTCCATTCCATACTCTCTCCTGTAGACTCCTCTCCCCCGCACACCCTTTCTCCTCGGTTTGCGTTGTTTTTTTACAACGTTAATTCACCCCAACACCGTCGCGTGATCTGCACATGGTATAATTCACTTAAACCCTAAACAATCAATCCGTGCGCACGCAATTCACAGCACTCGCCGCTTCCTGAGACAAGTGACATTCATCGACAGCTCGGCATATTGTCACAACAACGCAGGTTGCTGGGTGATGTCTCGTTTTGATGGTCAATGAATGGTCAAATGTTGGCAAAATGACGGCGAAACATTGGTGAAATGACAGTGGAATTATTCTGACAATTATAGTGAAATGTATGTAAAATTTGAATTAATTGATGGTGTAAGTTTGAATGTCTAGATATCTCCTGGGAGAGAATTCCAGAGTATGTGGGCTGCCACACGTAGAAACAACTCGGTCGCTCGTAAGTAATATTACATTTAATTAATGGTGAAAACGATGGTGACAATGTACGTAAAACGAAGGTGAAAATGACGCTGAGATGTCACGACGGTCGCGTCGCGCAGGTTGTCAAGCTGCGCGACGTCTTCCCGCACGGCACGGGCTTCGTGCTCGCGTTCGAGTTCATGCTGTCCGACCTGGCCGAAGTGATTCGCGACTCGGAGCGCCCGCTCTCCCAGGCGCACGTCAAGAGCTACATGAGCATGCTGCTCAAGGGCGTCGCTTTCTGCCACCACAACTCCATCATGCACAGAGTGAGTGGCACGCGCGGGCACGTACACAACAGCCCTGGCATCTCACCCGCGGGCTGCAAACCACGCGCGTGCGCACGACCTTGCAGCCCGACCACGTGTGTGCATTGCGGGTGTGATGCGATCTTACTTTTCTGGGGTAGTCGTGGCAATGCACGTGGCCTGTAATCCAGCGCTGTGGAGGCAGAGGAGGGTTGGTGGATCAACGCACAAATGTTGCGAAACTCCCTTCTCGTGGGCGGCGAGGTGCTGTACCCTGGCTCCCAGGAGAAGGCGGTACTGTACAGCGAAGCGGGGACCTGAGTTGTTGCTGCTCTGGAGACCGTGAGATCGTTGATCGATGTTCGGTCGCCGGGTTGATGATGGTATTAGGTAATCGTGATTTCTCACTGAACAGGGTGGGGCGCGTGAAGGCTGCCATCTTCAGCACCAGTCTGGACGAATATCATTGTCCTATCTTCAGAGGGTAGAGTGTTACCCCGTCGCACGTGTGGATTTTCTCTGGGTTCTACGGTTTCCTCCCACATGTATGAACACTCTTAAGTATTGGCTGACAACATCTTATCCAATTTGCGCCTGTGTGTTTGAGGACTGTGCAGCGTTGTGCGATGCGGTTGCATGAATTACACTTTAAAAAATATATTTTATTTATTATTGAAACTCATACATCCGAGCCCAGCCAGTGCAGCTGTTTCCCACTGGCTATTTGCAGAGCCGAGCCGGAGCCAAACCCGTGCTCTACTGGCCACACAAAACATCTTAAATCTGGTTAATGGCAAAACACGGGAGCCAGGGTGGGGCTAAGGACCTATTCTGTACTCGGGACGTAAGCACACCATGACAACGGTTTCACCACGTCTTCTCCATGCAGTGCAACTCGTCGTGTGTGATGGCTAGCGGCACGGCAAGGGCTACGCAGTGGAAAAACAACACGGCGCCTCCCGAGCAGTGCCGGGCAGGCTCGGCACAGCCCTGGTACGGTTCAGTTGACAGTGGAAAAGCAGCATTGATCTCTGGTCCACGTGTGTGTTGGACCTTCTGGGGAGCGGGAGTGTAGTGTAGTGAGCTGCACTATGAGCCCAGCAACCCGAGTTCAATTCCTGTTCAGCGAAAATTTGGAGACGAATATCTCACCCGGTCTTGGTCATCCCCTCGGTCGACTTAGCCTTCAATGAGTAGCTGTTCGAGTGTGTAGACAGCACTGTATTTATGTCTGTTGAACTTCTCTCGCAACCGTACGTAGCCAACCGTGATAATCGGAGGTGTGAGGGGAGACAAAGGCGGCCGCGCACGGTAGATCGCTGCTGATACGGTGGATCTTTGTTTCGCAGGATCTGAAGCCAGCGAACCTCCTCATCAGCTCCATGGGCCACCTCAAGATCGCTGACTTCGGCCTCGCTCGCGTCTTCTCCAACGACGGAGACCGCCTCTACAGCCACCAGGTCGCCACGCGGTGAGCACGCACGGGACAAAGGGTCAGCAGTCGTGGGGTGAGTTGTCTATGGGGCGAGGAATCGCTGCTCACTCGGTGTAAGAGGCAGCCCGACTGCTGAATTTATGCCACAGTAAGAATCCGAATGTTTCGCCATCGTTGGATGTTTGTACCCAATGTTAATTTCACTAATACCCCATGGGCCAACGTTGGACATGTGGTTGGAACCGCTTGACCAACATTCCACGTGCACTGGGTCTCACTTGCAAGTGACGCGCCACTTTGTCGCAGGCATCTCGCAGGTTTGACCGATTTAACACGAGACGTGAGGATTACCAGGACCACAGACGGAGAAAGATGAGTGTCTCGCGGGATGAGTACTGACACGGTGCCGTGTGTGTCGGTGTTGTTTTGTCGGGTGGCGTGAACTCCAACCCAAGTTGGTACCGCGCACCTGAGCTGCTGTACGGAGCCCGAAAGTACGACGAGGGTGTGGACTTGTGGTAAGCGCCAGCCTGCTCGTAATCGCGCCACGGCGTACGGAGAGAGACGATCGTGGTGCCGCTCCGAGTCTGAACCAAGGCTGTGGTGTGTTACAGAGAATATCACCAGTTTATCCGTCAGTCCCTCTATCTGTCCGTTCCTCTGTCCGTTTAGTTGAACTGGAATTTTAAAAACGTCATTTGTCTATTTCTGCAGGAAGTCTCAAGACCTTCATTTAGGAGGGTCCTGCATTGGCTAATTCGGTGCCAGTTCAGCGGCTCCAAAATGGTGTCGCTGCCCTGAGCCACCTGGCCGCTTCTGCGTGTGCACTCGCGCGTTAATTTAATTGCGCGCGTGACTTTGCTTGTGCGTGCGTGCGCGTCGCATGTAGGGAGCAGTAGTGCAGTGGTTAGCGCGCTGCATCATGAACCCGGCGACACGGGTTCGATTCCCGCTCACGGTCAACACCAGTAACAATTATCTGAACTGGCACTGGGCCTCACCTAGGTCGACTCATCCTCAATTGAGTACCTGGTGCAGTGTTTATACATCACCGCTGGGAGACAAAGGCGATCGGCCGTGGTGCTGGCTACCCACACCTTCGTGTGTGCCATTGCTAGCCTTCATAGGTGCTTGCTAACAGCACTTGTCCCTGCAGTCTGTTAAGGCTACACGGGGGATCTTTGTCTTTGTGTGTCGCATAGGGCGGTGGGCTGCATCCTGGGCGAGCTCCTCAACTGCTCCCCGCTACTTCCCCGGAGAGAACGACATCGAGCAGCTGTGCTGCGTGCTGCGTGTGCTGGGGGACCCCCAACCAGCAAGTCTGTGGCCGGTATAGACCCCCTCGTTGCCAGGACGACTCATGAGTCGTCATCCCCACATTGAGTCCACGTCCAGGTGTCAGATTAGGTTCGCTTGCCTCTCGTTGGAGTACAAACGGTGCAGGACAGAAGGACAGAGGCGGACATTATAAGACAATAATGTGCAAATGAAACGGTACCGATGAAACGACACAAGCGAGCCAGTGAGACCAGTTAATTAACCCTTGGCTCAAATTGTCACCACAAATCGCGACGATCCTTCAACTTACTTAAGAGAGGGCTGTAAGGAAGGGCTGAACCGTTACCTCCCTGTCATCATCTTTCTCATCATTCCCATCATGATCATCATCGTCGTCATCTTTCTCATCATTCCCATCATGATCATCATCGTCGTCATCATTGTCAGCCTGCAGCCGTCGCCACCTTCCACGTGACGATTTGTCCACTCTCCCCGTTTCCCCCCCCCCCCCCCACCTTTCCCCCACACTCATCCAACTCGCCCACCTCGCCGCACTCAACTCGCCCCACTTACCACCACGACTCTCACTCCACCCATGCCCCTGGCAGGAGATAACGGAGTTGCCGGATTACAACAAGATCGAGTTTCCGGGAGAACGCGGCGCTGCCCCTGGAGGAGGTGGTTCCGGACGCGCCGCCCGAGGGCCGTGGGAGCTGCTGCGCCGGCTGCTCGTGTACCCGTCGCGCCAGCGCATCCCCGCCAGCGAGGTCAGCGAGCGCCGACAAAGGCCGGCACGCCCTGCGCGGCGCAGCCCTTGTCCAGCACGAGGGCTGAACTCGCGTTGGTGCGACGCGGGGTGGATTTATTGCGGAGTGGATTCGAGACTATGTGCGGCCTCGTGGCAAGACACAGTGGCGGATGAATTTCATATTTACAATGATAAACACATTCCTGCGGAGGGAGCTGATAGGAACGTTGGGGTTGCTCGGTCAATGGCCAGGGTCAACGCGGTGTGGTGTATTCCGCAGATATGCCCGACTGTGAGGGCGGGCACAAGCCGGCTTGAGTAGGTTAAATATTGAGTTCTATAAGGGCACCACGGGGTGACCAGCCCCTCCCATTTTTGGTTGCACGACGGACGGGACGGACACAATAATCCCCTGTGGGCTGGTGTAACCAGGAGGTTCCCTACCAGTACTATTGTTTCTATATACAGTCTGTCCTCCTATAATGCAGTAGTTGTTTTCCTGAAGAACACCGCGTTATGGAAAACCGCATTATAACAAATAATGTAGAATATAGGGTAAATCACAGCCCGTGATAACACTTGAGATGCATATGCAGGCCTGAACAAAGACTGAAGCACGTAGGTAGCATCTAGAAGTATCCAGCAGCATCCCGGCCCTGTGTGATCCTACGCTGAGGCAGCCGTACAGCCGCTGTATTCCTACTCGCGCGACGTAGTTCCGTTCGCTCGATCGCATGACATCCAATGTGTTCACTAATACATTAATCGCGTTATATCCAATTCGCGTTATGAAAACACACAGCGTTATAGGAGAACAGACTGTCGTGCTGTCATATGTCCACTTATAGCGGAGACGCGGCCCAGCAGTCGCGAGTTCACCGCTTGTTGAGGTTCACGGTTCGAGCCCGACAGGCCGCCCTGGTTATTACTGTGTAGCCACCACGGCTAATATCACTACGCGCCGCCGTCCACTTCACAGTGGACGTGAAGGATCCCTTGAACGTCATTTGCAAGAGTGGGCCATTGTGTGCCGGTGGACGGGGATACATTTGCCCCATTCGAAATGACACCGCAAATTACTCAGTTGGGATTATACACAGGAGCAGCAAATCATCGCCCTCTACGGGAGACTGATTGGTGCCCGAGGTCACTCGTTGTGAGTTGCTTTCCTGCTCTCTTGAGTTCTCACCTGGTTAAACTGTGGTGGTATTAGCCATAAACTGCAGTGACACCTGGTTAAACTGCGGTGTCTTATCAGCAGTAAATATCCGACCACACGCGGTCTTGCTTCACCCACAGTGGACGTTAAAGATCCCGTGGACGTCATTCGCAAAAGAGTAGGGCCACTTTTGTAAGCATCACTCTCCAAATTATTCAAGTTTGAAAAATTTACACCGCAAATGACTCAATTGGAATCTACATAGCCAACCGCCGTCCCCCTCCTGCGAAAACTTAGCAGGACCCTCCTGAACAATAATTCACGAGACTTTAGTGAGGCTTTCTGTGGTAAATGAACTTAATCATAAAACTTCATCCACACAACTCAGCTTAGTCCACAACACACGGAGGGCGCGATTTGTATTAAGTTGTTTTTTAGCCAATTAAAAGTTGCTTATACGTGCGGAAGGAAACTGGAGCACCCAGAGAAAACCCACACGTTGAGGGGGGGGCAGCACCTATCCCATGCAGATGGAACAGATGGAGATAGTTTGCACTTTGCTGTACCACCTTCTTTTTGGGTGTACCAGGGTACGGACCCTCGACGGCCACCCCATGGGGTTAGGGGGTTCACATGTCGCACGCCACTCGTCCCTCTATCTTGTCGCGTGTCACACAGTATTGTGTAGCGCGTGCCGCGCTGTCATGCGCATCGTGTCTGGTATCACGTGCCTTGTCTGTATCGCTGTCACGTGTCTTGTCGTGCCGTCGTCATGTGTGAACGTGTCCGTGCATTACATGTTGCGCCCTCGTATCGCGTGTCATACATGTCAAGTGCCGTGTCACACGTGTGTGCCGCCGCAGGCCCTGCTGCACCCGTACTTCTTCACGGCGCCGCTGCCCGCTCACACACTCGGAGCTAGCCCATCCCGCAGAGGGGGGCGCGGGGTGTCTCGGCGCGGGGTGGGGGGCGGGGGGCGCCCCCCGGCCGTGGAGCGCCCCCTAATGGAGTCGCTCGTCGACCCGGCCACCGTCACCCCCCTTCGCAGGTTGCCTAGAGGGGCACCCAGATTCCCACAGAGGTGTCCCCCCCTGGTGTTCACCAGAGGGAACCCCTAATACAGGGGTCTCTTGATACGGAAGTCTCCTGTACATTCATAGGGGTCTCTGAACAAGTCACAGAAGTCGCCTGATATAGGGGTCTTCAGGACACGGGTTGCTGATACTCACAGAGGTCATGACGCACACAAAGACAAAGTTTCCCCGTATAGCCTTTGTCAGACTCTTGGGCAAGTGCTGTTAGTGAGCACCTATTATGACTGGCACAAACAAAGGGGGTGTTGTGACCAGAGCCACACCCCCCCCTTGTCTCTCCACTGCTTACGTTTACACATTTCACCAGGTACTCATTGAGGTTGAGTCTACCTAGGGGAGACCCAGTATCTAATCATATAATTTCCACCAATGTTAACCACGGCCCCGGTTTGCAACGCATATCGCTAACCATTGCACCACCACTCAGACACACAGAGGGGAGTCCTCCCGCCACCGTGGCCGACACGGTTATCCCTGTTGTCATTCCACGTGTCCAGTGGTGGAAATTGCACATTCCTGTGATTGGATTATGTACGCTTGTATATAACTGTACATAACAAAAGAGCAATTATCCGTGTGGTGAATCGTCGCATTTTCACATCGGTCCTACTCACAACACGAGCAATCATCAGGTACAAATGAATGAGAAAACAAACCTTAAATTTTGATTGAAAGCTTTCGTGACTGCAGGGATTCATATTCTTGGTTTCTTTCGGTAAAGTCACGTAGAAGGGAAACAAGAAAATGATAAAAATATAAAACAATAAAATTATCACGACGTTTCGATTGCAACACCAGCAATCATCATCAGGTGTGTTGCAGTCGTAAACGTAGTGAGAATTTTATTGTTTTATATTTTTATAATTTTATTGTTTACCTTCTACGTGACTTTACCGAAAGAACCAAGAATATAAAACAAACCTACTGCAGTCACGAAAGCTTTAAATCAAAATTTAAACCTAGTAAACTTAGAAATAGAAAGCAAAACAACACAGAGAGTAGGCTAACATAACAGTCAACACCCCACCTGGTTGATTACGTTCTTCCAAAGATTGCTCATTCATTCGTACCTGATGATGATTGCTTGTGTTGCAATCGAAACGTCGTATGCTATTATTTAATTTATTTTTCTTTCTACGTGACTTTACCGAAAGAACCAAATAGTAACAGAATTGTTATAACAACACTAATTTTGATTAATTTTCATTATTAACTATTTGATCATTTAAATTTACGAAGGTCACCTTTTATTCACTCCATGAAGGAGCATTTTGCTTTCTCCATGGGAGAATGGAGAAGTGTAAATTTTGTAATTTTTTTTATGATTGTTATTAAACACTTTTGATTCTAATGATTCTACCAGGGCTTTTCATTCTGTAAAATGAATATGTGATTGTTATAATTGTACTCTCCATTTTGCTTCGTTCTACTACAAAGTTTCAAGTTTTTTTATAGTTATAATTACTTTTAATATTTTATAATTATAAGAGAATTTCAATATAATATTCTGAACATCTGCAGTTTTAGTTAGACGTTGAATATTTTCAAGTGAATTTTATGCTAAATTTCAGCTTTCCAACGCCACCTTTTTAATAAATGTTTTCTCCTACAACATCAGAGTGCAGCGCCACATTAAATACGCACTACAATGACAATAGTTTAAAGCGATTTGAAGCATGTTTTATTTCAAAATGGAAATATGGTTTGGGGGAGGGGGGGGCAGAGCTTTGTGACGTCATATTTGAGGGGGGTCCTGACTTTTTGTGACGCCGTGTGACGAGGGGGGGTCAAAAATCGGCCAAAATCACGTGACGTCAATTTATGGAGGCCCCTTGGATTAATTCTGGGGTCAACATAATTTATTTTCTACTTCTGATCGCAAATGAAAGTGCGTGCGTGCGAGCGAAAAAACGAGGCTTTTTTTCCACCTCGGTGTTTTATTCTTCTCCATACGCCACACGAGAGATGGAAAGGAACTTGAACGGTTGCCCGTCCCCCCGTTGACGAAGCCTCCGAGGAACAACCCTTCCCCTCGTGGACTGCCCAGGCTCGTCCTGGTCTCGCTACGAGTGCAGTAGGTGGCGACAGAGGGCCAGCACTGCCGACCTCGGTACAGCAGCGAAGCGACTTGCGCTCCAACCCGACGCAAGAGGTCACAACGCGTCGCGTGTTTTGCTCTGCGTGTCATCGGAGATGCCCCATCGGGAGGGATTAATTATCCAGGTGAAAATAGAATAAATGAAAATGTCAACAAATATGTGCTTAAATGTTTGCCCAGACCTCGAGGATGGGTGCAAGTTGTACCGTTAAAATTGTCGACACCGAGGGTCCTCAGCACCTTGCCGCTACCCTATCCTCCGCCCTCCGGCCTTACCACCACCCTACATTTGTCCAAGTTTACCAAGCTTACCCGCTCCAACACAAACAATGCAAAAGGCGTTCCACACAGCACGCACCACCGACGATTGTCAAACACGTGCCACAGGATGGAGAGAATTCCCATTCCAACGAAGGTTGAGCAAGCTATTTGCTGGCGCATTGTCAGCGGTGCGCATGCACAATGAACACAACTCAAGACAGATACCGTGTGCACGTGTGCGCGTGTGTTCGTGTGCGTACCAATCATCATACATAAAGACAGACATACACACACGCACGCTTCTGAAACTGACCGCGGTCAGTCCGCGTTCAATCGGCTCAAGTGTCCATGGGCCGATTGAACGCGGAGATAGAGGAGAGAGAGGAGGGAGGCCGATGTCAAATGAACCCTTCCCCCGGCCAAATTAGGGCAATTATAGATTCGCAGCGGTGATTACTGCGAGACGCGAAAGATAAATGCTGCAGACACACAAGCGCGTATACATCCACACACAGGCGTATACACAAATACAAAGATCCCCCTTCCCAATATAGTCTTAACAGACTGTTGGGGCAAGTGCAAGCGAGCACCTATGAAGATCTGAACGGCACACACGAAGGGGTTGGTGGCCAACACCACGCCCGGCCGCCTTTGTCTCCCCAATGGTGATGATACACCGCACCAAGTGCTCGTTTGCCGAGTCGATCCAGGGGAGGCCCTGGGCCGGTTCAAATATTGCAGACCACTGTGTTCGGTCGTGAGCGGAATCGATCTCGGGTCGCAGGGTTCGGAGCGCAGTGCGCCCAACCGATGCGCCACCGCTCTCCACAGCCAGGACGGGCGCGCGCGCGCACACTCACAAACTATTCGGGCAGGTGTGGGTAAAGGCGCAGCCCTGCAATTGCCCGCTCGCGCTACTGTTGGCGGAAGCGCCCCCACTTTAGAGGGAACTCTGCAGAGGATCCTCCTCTGGAGGGTAACTGTTGGCCTACTCTTCCACGCTCAGGCCTGCCGCCTTGGGGTTGCACAGGCGGACAATGTTCACTCACCGCTCGGACAGAACATTCAGTGTTGAGGACAAATGTAGAGGGACATGTTCCCCGGCGGGACTAACAGATGCACAGACGTATTTAGTATTTAGACAGGTGCACAGACAAAACGCACTGTTCACGAACGATATAAATACAGACAGCTGGAGACACAGAGAGGAGATGCCTTGGTTGATGGACGCACAGAAAACACAGCTTATCCAGCAATCTCGAACCCTACTAAATCTAATTTATCCCAGGTCCCACCAGCATCACCACCGTCCCAGGTCTCCGTCTTCCCATTTCCGTCCACCACTCATCCAGATATTCCTTCGCCCAGGCCACATGATCCCAACAACCCTTAGCTCCACGGGCGAAGGTTCTTATACTCAGATCCAACATCACCATCCCAGATCTCCCAGATCCCAACCTCCACCACCAACTTCCCAGGTCTCCTCATGCCCCCAGTCTTCACGGCTGCTGTTGTTGTTGTTGGTGCTGTATGGCTGCTATGGTTGCTATCTCCGAGTTCCGGGCGTCTTTAATCCCCAAATCGCTGTGTTTGTTTTTACTGCCTGGCAGACGAAAGTTTCCATTCTCAACGCGAGCATCGGGCGGCGCTTTCACTCTGTCTGCCTGCCCCTGAGCCATAGGTGGATATTCCACATCTCCATTGTGGAGTTGTTGATCACCTATGAAGGCCAGCACCACACACACGGGGGGGGGGGGGGGGTGTCTGTACCACACCCGGGCCGCCTTTGTCTCCCCGTGCCAATTTCTACACACCGCACCAGGTGCTCATTTGAATTTGCGTCGACCTAGGGGAGGGCAGGACCGGTTCAAATATTGCTATTGGCCCTGAGCGGCAAAACTAACTCGGATCAGCTGGGTTCGTAGCGCCAGTGCGCTAACCACTGCACTACCGCTCCCTTACTTACACACATAGATACATCAACCCCCCCTTAGCCACTAAGTGGCAGTGACGTCACCATGGCGCTTGTGCCAGGCTATGTGCACTTTAAGGCCATGTGAAGTGGCCTTCAAGGGCACGTACATACAGACATACACACACACACGCACGTTTCTAAAACAGACTGCGGTCCGTACATTATCAAAGCGAAGACTTGTAATCATGGGTGTCGCTGAAGAATTTGACTTTTTTAAAAACATTTGAGTTAAAATTCCTTCTGGTGAGATCCGGGCTTTAGTGAAGAGAGCTTGTGAGGAGGGGGGGGGGGGGGATTAGGGGAGAGGGAAGGAGGTGAGAGAGACATTGAGTCACGGATAAAAGCAAAGACGAAAAGTGGTCGATGCTGCTATTGCTGCTGTAATGATGCTGCCATGGCTATGATGCACACACACACATGTGTGTGTGTGTGTGCATCAACACCTTCTTGGTGAACACACTCAGACGGGGTCCACAAATAAGTGTTCTGCTCGACTGCCCCTGAGTAACAGTGCATTGTGTCTGGAGCTCAGCAATGGAACGCCCACCGAGCAGGAGATGGAGCGGCGAAATCTGTCTCGGTATGCAGGCGCTGGGGTGCTTAGGGAGGCCTTCATCCAGCAGTGGATTGACCATGGCTGATTGATGATGAGAATGTATAAGACCATGATCCACACTCTCACCATCATCATAAACACAATCATCATCAATAGTACCCACATCATCAACATCACCAACGGTGTAGTATTATTGCTCAAGCGTATTTCGTGTAACGAGGTGGTGAGAACTGAAGAGACCAGACCGAGTCCAATTTGCTAGGGACCTGGGTCACAAACATGACATAGACCCATACACGTCGAGATACATAGACCCAGATACATCCAGATACATAGACCCAGATACATGGAGATACGTAGACCCATATATATCGAGAGATACGTAAACCCATATACATCCAGATACATAGACCCAGATACATGGAGATACGTAGACCCACAAACATCGAGAGATACGTGGACCCATATACATCCAGATACATAGACCCAGATACATGGAGATACGTAGACCCACAAACATCGAGAGATACGTAGACCCATATACATCCAGCTACATAGACCCAGATACATGGAGATACGTAGACCCAAATATATATATCGAAAAGATACATAGACCCATATAGATCCAGATACATAGACCCAAATACATGGAGATACGTAGACCCACAAACATC